AGGTTTATAACGATTTGCGTATCACTACCAAAGGCATTCGTGACCAACTCGTGTTATTCCGGGACAAGCCGAATAGCGACTCGTGCCCCTCTCATGGACAATTTTGCTAGTCTTAGCGCAAACGGGCATACCTAAAACAGTTGTCAACTCGTTGCCTGAATGTTAACATATATTTCCCCATATATTATATATATTTCAGATGCAATTTAAAGCACAGCGGGACATGCGGAATTATACAGTATGATTGATCACATGTAACTGTGTCTTTGGTATATTTTTAGATGCAAGACGTATGTAAAATCAAAAATTATTTCTGAGGGATTCTTTGACTAAGAACTTGAAATCTTGCGCGCATTCTGATTGGTTTGTCGTATATTCGCACATAACATTAACCTTTTTGCAGGTTACGGAAAGGGGCGAGTGGTGACGAATGTACCAAAGGAACATTGTGAAAACAAAATCAAGACTGTACAGTCTATATTGAAATATACCACCTCCAGTAACGATGACTTAATCTTTTAATGGTTTAGATCCAGTTCAGACGTGCAAAATCCAATTTTAATGCTTTGGTCTTTCAATTTGTCAGAGCCATTTGAGAAGCGCCACTTCCTGGTATAATGAGCTGGTCTCTAGTGTTGTAGCTCCAGTTGTGATGCGCCTCTTCATGTAATGAGTTGCTGTCTAATGTTTCAGGTCCATTTGTGGGCACCACTTCATATTAGTTGGTCTCTAATGTTTCAGCTCCAGTTGTAACACGCAACTTCATATGATAAGTCGGTCTCTATAGTTTTGTAGCTCAAACTGTGATGCGCCACTTCATGTATTGAGTTGTTCTCATATGTTTCATATCCAGTTGCGATGCACCACTTCATTTAATTAGTTGGTCTCCAATGTTTCAGCTCATATGATGAGTCGGTCTCTTGTGTTGTAGCTCCAACTGTGACGAGGTACTTCATGTAATGAGTTGTTCTCATATGTTTCAGCTCTGGTTGTGACATGTCACTTCATATAATGAGTTCATCTCTAGTTTCAGCTCCAGTTGTAACGTGCCTCTTCACATAATTAGTTGTTCTCATATGTTTCATATCAAGTTGCGATGCACCGCTTCATATAATAAATTGGTCTCTTTTGTTTCAGCTGCAGTTGTAATGCACCACTTCATGTAATGAGTTGGTCTCCAATGTTTCATCTCCAGTTCTGACGCAAAACTTCACATAATGAGATGGTCTCTAATGTTTCAGGTCCAGTTTTGACACACCACTTTATATACTGAGTTGGTCTCTAATGTTTCAGCTCCGGTTGTAACGCGCCGCTTCATATAATGATTTGCTCTTTAATAAGGATAGAATTGCTGTACATCCATGGGATTATCATTCTGTATAGCCTTTATATTTTAGGGGGATATTCTCTACAGTTCGAATCCCGATTCGCCCCGATTATGTTTCTAGGTTTGTCAGCACCATACCCGTGCCCGTGGATTTCACCGAACTGGTAAACGTCTAAGACCTGCATCACTTCGAGCTTTCCTCCCACATTAAGCTGACACGCCGCGATATAACTGGAATATTGTTAAAAGCGGCGTTAAACCCAACTCACTCAAGCACTTATCTACGCCGGGTGCACTCAAGAAGTCCTAGTCAAATGGGCCTGATGGAGAGGGGCAGGTGAAGGCTCCTATGCGCGGTGTGCCGGGAGCCACAAGAAAGTGCCAGTCAGCTGAACCCAGGGGACAGTTAGGTTACATAGACTGGCGGCAAGTCTCATTTAGATCATTAATCATCATTTGTCACCATGCATTTGGTGTCGTCGTTAGCCCGTCTGGCGTAAGGGCCAGAGCAGAACCATTAACTGGGATGCTGAGACCACCACAATCCATGTGCAAAAAGCTTTGAAACTCCTCCAAAATTTGAGAGAATCACCCCGTCGCATCCGCATCACGCATTCATGCAAGGGACTTTTGACATTCAACGTTTTCAGTGCAGTACAGTGAAATATCTGCTTTGGATTTCATTGCGTCATTGTTTTGACATCCAGGCGAAATGAACGTTTTACTTGTTGTGGGGGCGAAAGTGAGTCTGATTTTTACAGAGGCCTGTATTAGGAATATTATAACAGAGGATAACAAATGTAAATAGAAACAAGATTCAAATATACTACTGCTCTGTCGTAGATGCCAAAAAAGAACCTTTAGTATTTCCTGTCATCTTACTTAGACATGGCACAGAATGCCTAATCACGCTGTCAATCACTGGATTGTCTGGTCCAGACTCGATTATTTACAGACCGCCGTCATATAGCTGGAATATTTCTGAGTGCGGCGTTAAACAACAAACAAACAAACAAAACCCATATGGGCGAAAATATGCAGTGTAATATTTTTTTATATTTGCACAGTGTGCAATTAATGATTCTGGAAGCTGATTGGTCAGTTAAACAAAGATCAATGTTAATTGGACAACGGGACTAATTTTATCTCATTCCATTCATTCACAAATCCACGCCATTTATTCAAATGTTTTACGTGCTACAATCTCCCTGATTCGAAATTGTTTAGACAAGAAACAGTTTCATATCAACAAGTTTCATCTCGGGTTATTCTATGTTATCCCAGTGGTTAAACGTTTGCTAGTCACACTGAAGACCCCGGTTCGATTCCCCACATGGACACAATGTGTGAAGCCCATTTCTGGTGTGACCCGTGAAGTTTCGGGGTAGAATAGATCTTCAGCAACCCATGCTTGCCGTTAAAGGCAACTATGCTTGTCGTAAGAGGCGACTAACGGGATCGGGTGGTCAGGCTCGCTGATTTGGTTGATGCATGTCATCGTATCCCACTTGCGTGGATCGATGCTCATTAGGGCTGGGATGAGTCCAAATTTACTACCCGGGTACCTACCCCCCTATTACCCGACCCTACCAGGGTACCCACTGTAGGTCTCAAGAGATAGGTACAAAATGTCCGATTGGGAATTGTTTTACCACAGCCTTGGCAAAACGTATTTAGATACATGTATAAAACAATCTGGTCATGCATACACTGAAGTTGGCTTAAGTTATGTCTTTATTCAACCATATGAAAAGTCAGAAGGAATGGGTGCATAGTCAGAAAGACATACGAACGTTAGTGACTTGTGGTGTAACAATAGAGTTCTGGAGAACATTTGTCATTGAACAATATATCACGTGACTAACCACGGGTCCGGGTAGTCCTGTGGGTACCCGTCCCAGCCCCAATGCTCATGATGTCAATCACTGGATTATCTGGTCCAGGCTCGATTATTTTACAGACCGCGGTCATATAGCTGGAATATTGCCGAGTGCGGCGTTAAACAATCAACCAACCAACCATGTCTGGCGTCCCCCGACGCGATATTGCTAAAAGCGGCGCAGAACCAAATAATAATGCTCACTCCTCCATAAACGTCAGACATGATCATGTCATAGAATGTCATCGATAAGTTCTTACCTGAAAGGTGCAGGCGGCCAAACTTGTCATGGCGTATGTCACGATACGAAGTGTTTGTGTTCAGTTTTCCTGTAATTGCGTCTGTCATTTTCTTCTTGTTCTTTGATTGTGCAAATGTAGTAGCAATCGCAGGACGAACATGTAGTTTCCGGGCGACATCGCATCTAAGAAGTAGCTGTTGCGGTTCATCTCCCTGTGTAATTCTTCTTCAACTTGCGAATTTATTGTGCCTTTCATTACGGGACCAAACGTCATACGCCTTCGCAGTTCCTCCTCCGATTTTGTATTGCCTTCATAAAATCTATCAAACAAACAGAATGTTTCCTTTGAGGGTGGCAAGTCAGAGCATTGACTGGAGCTACTGTTAATCCTTCTTTTTTGTAAGGAATTCTCTTAGAAAATATCCCTTTCTGTATGTTCTCGGCAGTTGCTTCGGCCACGCGTCCCTCGTTGTTCTTCCGCCGCTTGTTCCCATGGCGTGACATCATATGGGCTAGTCACTTATGATGACTGGCGGTTGTCTTGACATTGATCGATGTGGTCTCTCGCGCTTTCAGGCCTCAGTTTGTTTGTTTGTTGTTTTAGGCTGCACTCAGCAATATTCCAGCTATATGACGGCGGTCTGGACCAGACAATCTAGTGATTCACGTCATGAGCATCGATCCACGCAATGGGATACGATGACATGCATCAATCAAGTTAGGGAGCCTGACCACCGGATCCCGTTTGTCGCCTCTTACGACAAGCATAGTCACCTTACGGCAAGCGTGGGGTGCTGAAGACCTATTCTACCCCGGATCTTCACAGGTGAGACTGGTTTTCACATAAGTTTTATCACACTGTAACAATTTATTACTTCTGTTATCAATCTCTGCCTCTTGGTGTTATTTAGGACAAACTGATCTCTGATGGTTTGACGAGCCAGTGAGTCAGTTATGAAATGTCAGCATGTTGTGGAGGAGAGACAAGGATGATGGTTTCCTTTCAGGAGAATCCAAAAATGTTTTGTGCTAACAAACCAAGAAATCCCCATAACTGGACTGAACTTGACCCAAAGTGGAACCTGGCAAGGAAACACAACACTGCATACAGAGTGAGAGAGTTGAGTTTAACCCGTTTTGAATAGTATTCCAGTTATATCACCATGTGTCAGCTTGATGTGTGAGGAAATCCTTCAGTTCAATCCCAGAAAATGTCATACCAAAGGATGTTAAAAGATAGAAGACTTGTTGTACCGTGTTGGCGCTAGGCATTGGGGGATAGAATAGACTACATTGCTGGGAGTCAGCTATCTGCCTCTGAGTGGAGTATTCATGTTAACTGCAGCATGGTATCACAGTGGGCTAGAATCATAAAACCAGCATTAGTCTGGACTAGTACAAGCAGCCACAAACACACGAAGTGCAATATGTTAAACCCCATTTCACCTCACCTGGACAATCAAGTTCATGTTGCTGTTTCAGAAAATCAAACATGAATTTATTTGTTTCAGTGTGTATCAGAAAGCATTTAAGTCTCCGAGGAAAACACATAGTTGGAGTTTCATCAATCCATGTGACATCTTCCTGAGGCAAGGGAGTTAACTGACTACATGAGCCCTTGTCGAACTATAATTATTGAGTTCTGGCTAGACTAACGAGCCTGCATAGTCCAATCAAAATCGTGTAATAAAATCCGACATCCGATTCCTAAACTGCCCTGTAGATTTTGGTCGATTGCAGGATTTGCAAAGCATGTGTACCGTCAACATGCCTTCAACCGAAACTTTCCATTTTCGGGTTTTTAATCAAGGGGCTTCGATTTAATGCACTTCGCAAAGTGAAACCCATTTTATTACAAAATAGATCTTGATTATCAATCAGATTGTTTTCACTAGGCGCCCCCATTTTGTTTAAAGCAACTGCAATTGATATGAAAGGTGGAACCTGATTGGTCAGTAGGAGGGACATACACGCGACATAACTCATAATAGCTGCTGGTGGCGGTAAGATCGAGCCAAGTCATTCCAGCCTTGTTCGGCAAGGGTGGAAACTGGACTTTTACAGTCAGTGAACTCCCTTGCCTAGGGAAGATGTCCATGTGACAGTAAAACAATTTATTTCACTTTTGAACGTATACATAATAAAACATATCAAAAGATATCTTAAGTAAAATCAATCATTTCTGGACTCCGTAAACATGGTAAACAAACATAAGTACATAAAAACCTAAAACACAAGCCTTGAGGTGACACACGGAAGCCAGTTTTCTTGAACCAAATTTGTATGTACTGTACATTGAAGAATATGTCAAGCATTTCTTGCTAATCCCAGAACATCATTATCATTTCCTTAATAGATCATCACTTTCAAGAACTGCATGTTACATTTGTTTGTACCATAATGTCCAAGCACACAAACTGACAAATACATTTTGAACATCTTCATCTGCAGCATAGTCAATCAAAAACAAATACTGTTGAAGAACTCAAGAAAAGAGAAAGAAAAGGTAATTGACACTAGTCCTATCACGCCTATAGTCCTTGGCAAACTGCCCAATAGTTAAGGTATCATAAGGACCAGTATTTGCCATTTTTAAGGGTTTTGCTACATGTTATCATTATGAGGACTAGTCAACTAAAACAGTTAGTTACTATCTTCCTCAAAATGTAATATGGCACACTGCAGAGGACAGATGAAAACTTTGTCTCAATTAAGCACAAGGCCACACTTTTTAAATTTTGTTTCATGGATTTATTCCAGCTTTCCCACACAAGGTCAGTCCATATTAAAATAGATATAAACAGCTGTGTCAATCTTTTATTTATTTATATGAGAGCAATTCTGCCTTGGAGTTCAAACTGCAGGTAGCCTCTTGAATCACTGATAGTGATGTAGACATGGAATTTATATATAACAGTTTTTATTGTATAACTATAAGTGGGACTATATTACTAGCGGGAGACATACTAAACATAACTACTTTTTTGTTTCTTTTATTTCTTTTCCAGCTGCATTTCAGGATGGGCAGCAGGCACGTGAATCGAAAAACAAAAAATGTCTAGCCTAACCCTAATTTATGCACAATGTAGAAATTTCTATTTTTTTGGAGACTAGGTAGAGGTGAATGTTCGAGTAACTCTCCATTCCTTATAAATAATGGAACCGAGGCCCATTTTTTTTAAGAAATGGAGAGTTACAAGGAAGTTCCCCTTCTAAAAACACATCTCTCCTCTTACCATGCTTACACTTTCACAAACATTCTAAAGAGCCATAAACTTGCATTGTAAAAATCAGCTTGTGACGAAGCACGTGCAACAGCAGCAGAGAACACAACTCTCCATTCCTTAAAAATAATGGAGTGCTCAAACAATAGAATGTCACGGATGTGTTTTTATCCTGAGGACTAGTGTTGCCCTCATTTCACTGGTCCTCAGTTTGTAGATAGTCCTGCTTGAAGGAGACACTTGAAGCTTGGAGAACTGGTTCAGAGTTGTAGCTCTCAAATGCTACTAGTCAATGATGACTACCATCATTGGGTTTTAATAGTCTTGGGCTAGCAGGGTGGCCTCAATTTGAAACCTGGCCATTTAGGGGCTAGTTCAGAAGACATTACTGAAGACCATCAAATATCAGTAGACTATTGCATTAAGATATACTGGGTCAATATATTCATGGGCAATGGAGGAATGTAGTGATATATACCCTTGAAGTATTGACATAGTGAATGGGTAAGTAGGGTATAAGGCTGCTTTGAATAGTATTTCAGATACATCACGGCTTGACAGTTTGATGTGGATTGAAAGCCAAAAGTGATGCAGGCCTCTAGGAATCGAAAACTTTAGTGAAACCCACAAGCATGGGTATGGTTCTGACAAACCTAGAAACATAAGGGTGAACCAGGATTCTTACCCACAATCAGCTTTCTGTAATGCCTAAGGGATGCAACTCTGGACAATGAATATCGGCAGCACAGGTAGCGCTCCACGAAGTGGCACATCAACCCAATGTGCACTGTGCATCCAACTATACACTACACAGTACAATTTAGACTTAAATCTACATACAATGGTTCTTATACCTGACCAACACATAATTATAGGATACTTAACCTGAAAATAAAAAAACATACATCTTAAAACCTGACAGCATGAACAGACAATGCTCACATAATCAGAACAAGTATTACTTGCTGATGACCACCTTCACTGACAAAGCAAATATAAAGCAAACATAAAGCAAATATAAAGCAAATATAAAGCAAATTACAGCAAACTATGAAGGATAAGCTAACACAGAGACAAAAATGTAATCAGAAAATGCATAAATCCAGAATATGTTGTACAGGGATTTATCTAGGATTCCAAACTAAATGCCAAATTGGGAAATAAGTGTAAATTTAAAGCAAATATAAAGCAAATTACAGCAAACTTTAAAGGATAAGCTGACACTCAGTTTCAAAAACGTAATCAGAAAATGCATAAATCCAGAATATGTTGTACAGGGATTTATCTAGGATTCCAAACTAAATGCCAAATTGGGAGATAAGTGTAAATTTGTAAATTAAACTGGGATTTTTTAAAGTGCTTATATCTACATTCACATGAATTATGAATTTTTTCATTTCCCATTTGGGAATTATTAGTACCGGTATATTACTGACATTCGTGGTCAACAATGATCCCCTGAGGAAGTCTAGATAAATCCCTGGTTACAGCAATGAAGAATCACGAAAATTCACAAACTGATGACAGAACTGCTTCATCAGCCACAAAATCTGCTGCATACAAGACAAGCATGGAAAATGTGACATCATGAAATTATTAGGTTCAACTGATGAAACATCACTTATCATTTCCACTGTAGCCAAAGAGGTTGCGCTTGTTTCGTCATTTTGTAATGGTAGAATGCAGACAAACCTAGCATTGTTTTGAATATAGAGGTTTCAAACTTCGATTTGATACCTATATATTTTTCAATACAAAACCTCATGCTATATTTACATGTATGAAATCTACATTCAAAACCTCTTAATTGAAAACACACTAGATTTATCTCATAAATATATCCATTCCAAAGAGTCTAAGTATACGTCATGCCATGAAGATGGACTTTAATAAATCAAAAGTATAAAACTGAAAAAAAAAATAAATCATGAATCTTGAGTATAACATTCCAGCTTGAGACACATCTCCTTGTGCGCCACCTTCCAGTGTTCCCGTTGACACTGCTTGCTACAGTAGCGAGAGAGTCGACACGCTCCACAATAACGAAAATGGTCTCTTTCCTCATTGAACTGTCTGCGACAACATGGTGCTGAACAAAAGATGACATGACCATTATCACTGTTACATTCCTCTTTGAGAACGTCCCGTAGTGACTGTTTGTCTATAAGCTGAGTCCCGCCATCCAGTTCGATTCGGAGGGCTGTGCAGTACTTCAATACAACAGGATCTGTTAGGCGAATTACTTTGGGATCTATCTTCCGTTCAAGGCTGTGTTTGTACTCTTCGACAGCAATAATAGCTGATGAATGTCTCACTTGATGACGAACATGTTTACCACCATGAATTACCAGCCCGTACAATAGCTTTACACAATATTCAACAATATCTATCGAGTTGTCGTTGAAATCAAGCTGTTTCTGTGCAATCGAATGAAGATCTTTCAGAATCTTATTCATCATGTACATCTCCGCCAGAGGTTCTTTTCCAACAATGAGACACCTATACATGATAACAAGCATTTTCTCCAGAAGCCTTGGTTCCTTTGGCTGTCTCAGAGCTTCAAAAAAAATTGGCACAAGAGCCTGTCTGTGGTAGAGAACTCTTTTAATGACGTTCACTGTAGTCAGACACTCACAAAAGAGGTTCATCGCTTCAAATAAATTGGAGTAGACATGACAATGGCAAGAATGAAGAGTGTTTGTTTTGATTGCCAGAATAATCTTTTCGATACCAACCTCCCCGAGGCACTGCATAACTTTCCAGTAGTTGAATTTATGCTTCCTAATATCACTTGATTTCATTTTCTGAAGTTTATCATATATTTCACCAACTCGTTTCATTTCCCTTCGCTCTAAATTACTCACAACATCATTTGCAAAGCCTTCAATGGTCTTCACACCACACTCTGCCATCACTGTAAAGTAGAAAACATAAACATTAAAACACTGTTTGTTTGTTTAATGCCTCACTCAGCAATTTTTCAGCTGTATGACGGCAGTCTCTAGATATCGTTAATCAAGTCTGGACCAGACAATCCAGTGATTGACATCACGAGCATCGATCCACGCAATTGGGACATCATGATATGCAACAACCACGTCAGCGAGCCTGACCACCCGATCCCGTTAGTTGCCTCTTACGATAAGCATAGTCGCCATTTACGGCAAGCATGGGTTGCTGAAGACCTATCCTACCCTGGATCTTCACGGGTCCATTAAAACTCACATTCCAATAGGGCTGCGACGAGTAACTCGGGTACTCTGGTTGAGTGGGTACTGAGTAGGACCCGGGTACCCACAGGACTACCAGGACCCCTGGTAAGTCATGTGACATATTGTTTAATGACAAAAAATTCTAGAACTACAAGTCACTAATGTTTGCATTGTTTTTTTTCTGTGAATACATTCCTTCTGACATGTATATTCAGTCAACTACAGTGTATGCATGAGCAGATTGTTTTATATGTGTATCTGAATATATTTTGCCAGGGCTATGGTCAAATTAATCCCAACTGGACATTTTGTACCCATCCCTTGAGGCTTACAGCGGATACCCATGTAGGGTATTAGGGGGTCAGTTACCTGGGTGGTAGGGCTGGGATGGGTCACTCGGGTACACAGGAACTCGATGATAGCTTGTATAACATAATATATTCGTATATACTCTATGTATATAGAGGGGTGTGATTGTTTTCTCTATACGATTATATTATGTTATACACGCTATCATCGAGTTCCTGTGAGTTCTAGATAATTTTTGTCATTAAACAACATATCACCTGACAAACCACGGGTCCGGGTCCTACTCAGGACCTGAGAACCCGACCTGAGACCCCGACCTGAGACCCCGTCCCAGCCTTAGTATATATCATCAAGTACAGAGAGAAAGAAAACACATACCAATTGGCAGGATAGATTATTTTTTAATAACACGGTGTGAATAGATTATTCAGAATTGACTTCAATAAGTTTTGTGAGTTTAAAGAAGGTCGTATAAATGTAAAAATAACACTGTGAACACTGTAAATCACGCTTGGATACTTGAACAAAAAAAGAGGCAAAAATAATCTGCAGTAGATCCGAAAACAGCACCTGCTTTGAGCAGGCGTTGAGGCTTGCTTGACCTGAAAACGGACCCTATCTTCATACTTTTTATAGTTAAAACTACGATTTTGTATCATTTAAGAAATCACATTAAGCAAATAGCCTATATGATCTATATTATGTTCTATAATAGACAATAAGTATCCAAATGACAATAAAAACAGATTCCTGATTTACCGCTTCTAGGGCATTTCAATTACCGTGTGTACTTTAGCCAGTTTAGGACTTTGTCGGCCTTGTGAACAGATATAAAATTTTATGCTTCAGGTAGCAACTATACCCGTGGTCCATGCACTTATTACTTACAGATGATTATCACATACAGATCTACCTTTTATTGATACGCTAGCACCAGCTGATTAACGTTGGTTTCAGGCTCATCTGAGCCTATGACTTTCGGACACACTCGTACAATCCGTGTTTTCATAGCCAGAAGCTCGTGTGCTTCTCCAATCCCCGCGCATGACGGATATAGAAAATAAAAAGCAGGAACGTAGTTTCTATCCGGAATATGCACGATGCATTACGGAAAACGAATTGTTTTTAACAGGTGTACAAACTATTTTGTGTCAAATGCTCATATCATATTCAAATTTGAGAAATAATAAATATACGCATGTAGCCGTTACTACCCCACACCCTACACCAATACAATGTACACACGTAAAAGAAACGTTATATATTATGCAAAATCAAACGATTTGTTTTCAGAAAACGTTTGCGAAGTGAGAAAAAATATGTCAATCAAGAAAATACTACTTGCTATAGTACTAAACACTACTCATAGGAAATCTTTATTGTCTTAATTTTAACAACTGTCCGAGTCACCGTGACCTTAAAAAACCAAATCCTAGTTTTTATTAAACTGTAACCACGATCAAAACTCATATTAATACTAAGACGAACCAAATGACAACTTCAGTCCGGAAAGCTTTTCTTAAAAAAAACACAAACATTACTAGATAATCATGATTATCAATATCAAGTTAGAAATCATATGACAATGAACGACTGACAAATGCTTACATGAATGTTGCTTAACTGGGTCGTGGGAAAATGCTCACGAAATATAATACACACATACATAGTAGATAGTACTTAAATATGACCCGATAAAGCGTATTATTATTTTAACACAAGAATGAATTCCATTCTGTCTCTTCACACAGTATATTCACGAAGAGACTGGTGAGAGTCGATGTGACCTAGCTAGTTGTCGATATAGCTTGTAGAAAATGTACATCCACCAGGAAGTCAATTTTCATGAATCTATCGTCTTTACCTCTACGTGAAACTCATTGCCATATACTCACTTGGAACAAAAATAATGTCTGTCAACGTTTCTCGACACTCGGTCGTCATTTTGGCAAGGTTGGTGATACACCTGTACAAGCGTTATATATGCGACAGCCGAGTCTTAACACGTCGCGGGTACGCTCTACGTGCACAGTTAAATGTCCCCGTTATAACGCTGCTTGGTGACGTGACCTCGTCATCGTTTGTAAGACGGTTTGATATGTACAAGGTTCTGCGACAGACCCGCACGTACTCATCAGTGTCACGTGGTCGTTCAGAAGTATATGTTAAATATTTAGGTGTTTTGATATTTAGCCCTAGCTATATGAAAGGGGTACACATAATTATACCCCTTTCATATAGCTAGGGCTAAATATCAAAACACCTCTAGGGGTAGAATAGGTCTTCAGCAACCCATGCTTGCCGTAAAAGGCGACTATGCTTGTCGTAAAAGGCGACTAACGGGATCGGGTGGTCAGGCTCGCTGACTTGGTTGATGCATGTCATCGGTCCCAATTGCGTGGATCGATGCTCATGATATCAATCACTGGATTGTCTGGTCCAGACTCGATTATTTACAGACCGCCGTCATATAGCTGGAATATTGCTGAATGCGGCGTTAAACAACAAACCAACCAACCAACATAATTATATATTAATGTTAAATACGCCCAAATAATAAAGAATTTATTTATCTCAATTAATACCAAACTTCGTGCTTGAGTTTATTTGTTTTGTAAGGCCCTTCTCCCAGCGTTTTGTCGATGCAGACGTATGCATCAATGTCTTTGGTCAAGTTTCTTTTAATTATTGTGCCTTAAGCTCTGCCTTTGACCTTGATTTTGTTCAAGGAATGACGGCACAGCTACGACTCACTCTGATTTGTTTGTTTGTTTGTTTGTTGTTTAACGCCGCAACAAAGGGGATTTTTCATCATCAGCATCCAGACTCAGAGATTCATTAAGTGTTTTAGAATATTACGCTTTCTTGTCTCCGTCTCTCGTGTTTGCTCTATACACGAAACTTAAAGACATACACAATTATACAGTTATAGTTGTGGACTCAATCAGTTTGTGTTTGTTTTTTTATTTGTTGTTTAACGCCGTACTCAGCAATATTCCAGCTATATGATGACGGTCTGTAAATAATCGAGTCTGGACAAGGCAATCCAGTGATTGATACCATGAGCTTTGATCCACGCACTTGGGATACGATGACATGCACCAACCAAGTCAGCGAGCCTGACCACCCGATCCCGTTAGTCTCACGACAAGCTCGCATAGTCGCCTGTTATGGCAAAGCATGCATGGGTTGCTGAAGACCTATTCTAACCCGCATCTTCTCGCTCGAATCGCTCTGAAGTAGAACGTTTTTGAGAAACTGATTAAATATTCATCTCACTTTAATAATTCAGGATACTATTTTGAAAATGCCTATTGATCCATAATATATGCTATGCCGTGCAAAAGCTGTTTTTTTAGAAATAGCAATTGGGAGATTTTTCAATCATTGAAATATTAATTTTGTGTATGTTCAGTTTGGAAACGATGTGCATGGAAATTAATAAAATAAAGGTTTGGGCGTGATAGTGTTTTAGATACTTTAGTGATAAAGCTACAGGTATTCTGAATATGAAAGCATCAGCCGCCTGAGACAATGCACATAGTATAACAGTCCACGCATGAGGGGGTGCTGTCACCTGTAAGAGTGCCATGCACGTGGCGGCCAGGTGTGTACATTGAGCACATGTCCAGCGTGCAAAAGTAAACAACTTGTAAAAAAACAAATCAGTCTCTGTTCATCTTTAAAACATCCGTGTCCTCATAGCAGGACTATCACACACATCCATCTGGAAAGTTACATAGAGTGAGATTATATTACGCTTAATTTGGTTGGATTTTGATAATGTGGAATTCCAGTCATTCGTCACAGCTCGCCCCATTCTGTAATATTACTTGCATGAAGACGGTATCTCGGAATGACACGGGTGATCACGAAAGCAAATCTGGTATGAAGGGTTTAATTAAGTAAAAACATAAATTACTACACTAGTCCCCCGTCAGATATCGTTTTTATTGGATCTCGTATACTTCAAACTCCCCTTCGCTAGTTAGATATTTTGAAATACACTCATCGTACTGAAAACGGGGATTCGTTTTGTCATCTATATGTAGCATTTCAGTAGTTCTCCCAGTGCTCGACCGCCTCCGTGGTCGTGTGGTAGAGCGTCCGCCCGGAGAGCGTCCGGGGTTCGATCCCCGGCCGCGTCATACCAAAAGACGTTAAAAGATGGTACTTGTTGTTACCCTGTCTGGCGCTCGGCATTAAGGGGCTAAAACAAGGCCTGGTCGGCTCGGAGTCAGTATACTGTGTCTGAGTGGGGTATTCATGTTTATTACCCACGTGGTGAAGATACAGGTGGTAAGATACTAAATCCGTACGTCAACCGTGTGTCGTACAAGGTTGACCTTGTTTTATTCGTTTTGATTGGATAACCGTGACCTCTGTCACACCGGGACTACTTTTTTCATTCATAAAAAATCGCGAGACGTCATTCATTTTGCGATTACAAGGCAGAACTGAAGAAATTCATGAGAACGAGAGATATTTACAAACACTTTATTAAACCAAACAAGATAGTCACACGCATCAAATTTGGTTTGCATTCGATATACGTTATGCATAGAGCTTCACAGATATTATATATAATGGAGCTAGATCTATAAATCGATTTACAATGTACGACTACCGATCAATAGAGCGAGGGTCCCCAACTTTCAATTAATTAAAAAATGTAAAAGGATAAGCGTGGTGAAATGAAGTCTGTTTAAATTATCTGGACAGATATCGAGACTTACTTGGGATGATCCGGTTGTGCCATCGGTGTCCCCTTTAAAGCGTATTTTTTGGCGCTGTTTCGGGAGTTGTTGTTTAATGAATGAACGTACACGACAGCACGACCAGATCACTTTAAGTTAACTGTTCCGATACAAATCATTCGAAAGCTCCGTGGAAGTGTGCCTGACGTCTGATTTTGTGGCCCCAAACATCCCAAATGTGAACAATAACATCCTCTATCTCTTGCGTAAAACGCTGTGAGTGGATCGCGGTTGTCTTTTCTTATTCCGGTGGCGACCTTGCCCTTCGATCGTTCGAAGCTGTCACTGACATGCAAGCAGATTTGAGTAAACTTGTTGATTTTCACGTCTTTAGTATATAGGGTGGTACAGTTAACATGAATGTCTTTGGCGAACAGTGACTGTCTGATTTCCCTCTTCCAAAATGGTACGAACATGATTTAAATTCAGCTGATAGATCAAGGAAACCGGACCATTTTGATTGCACAGCTGGGACCCCGGCAGCGCGAGTGACCGACTGTTGGTCCGATATTCAGAGCGCGGCGCTAATGTGACAATTCAAATGTTCTTATCGGTGTCCTGCGTACTAACAACATGGCACTTGAATTACCATAAGTTGAAGACTTTCTTCCAAAATGATCTTGAGCGTCAGTGCTGGTTTGTTTGCAAACAGAACAGCAGGCGCATGTTGTTAATGCGTATGCATAAACATGTCAACAATGCCCATATTTGGTCATATATCAATATTCAATGTTTCAGTTTGGTCTGCCAACGAACGAAAGTTGTTATGTATTTACACTTAAATATATTTTTAACGTGGGTAATAAATAAAATACCACACTCATTCTCGTTAGATACCATTTTTACGAAACTCGTGAACTTTCTATGGTATCTGACCTCGCTTTCGCTCGGTCAGATACCATTGAAAGTCCACTCGTTTCGTAAAAATGGTATCTAACGAGAATGAGTGTTGTATTCTCTATTAAACTGCGGCATGGTATCTCAGTGAGCTAGCACTATAAATCGGCATTAGTCCGGACTAGTACAAGCAGCCACACACACACGTGCATGCACGTCGCTATATAAGTGCAATAATCTTGGACGCGACGTTAAACCCAATTTCACCTCACCCATCTCTCAGTGCTCGACCTGTGAAGATCCAACCCCTGCTTGCCTTAAAAGGCGACTGACGGCAATGGGTGGTCAGGCTCGCTGTCATGGTTGATGCATGTAATTGCGTGGATCGATGCTCACGATGTCAATCACTGGATTGTCTGGTGCAGACTTGCTTATTTACAGACCGCCGTTATATATATGCTGGAATATTGCTGAGTGCGGCGTAAACAACAAACAAACAAAACTTTCAATGCTCTCATTGGTTAGTTGAAGCGATATGACGTCACAATGCTTGTCGAGAAAACAAGGCCACTATACTGTTCATGACGTCACAGATTTATAACACGTCATCTCAACAATATGATGACTTCAGTGGAATGTCTCTGTAGAGTTGAAATTTTATACTTTTTTCTTCATTTTCTTTTTAAAATCACAATGACTAATATATAGAATAACGTACTCGGAGTAAAAATACGTATTACATGTATGTTGCTTGTGAGTGAGTGAGTGAGTTGGGTTTAACGCCGCTTTTAACAGTATTCCAGTTATATCACGGCGTGTCAGCTAAATGTGGGAGGAAAGCCCGAAGTGATGCAGGTCTCAGACGTTTACCACTTCGGTGAAACCCACGAGCACGGGTATGGTGCTGACAAACCTAGAAACATAATCGGGGCGAACCGGGGTTCGAACCCACAATCATAGGTTTCTGGCGTGCTCAAGGGACGCAACTCTGCACAGCGAATCGCGGCGCCTTATAGACGACTGGGCCACCCGTGCCCCCTATGTTGCTTGTGAACGAATGCTGTAAGACACTCGCCAAAGGCTCGGGGCTCGGGGCTAACATGTTGGGGCAGATAATTCCTCGTAGCTAATAGGATATTCTCTAATTTCCACATACAAAATAAGAGGAACGAAAATATAGACCAAATTCAAAGAGATAACGGCACAAGGGACCCGGCACCCCTTTCGGTTTCCCCGTTAATCATGAAGCACCCGACCCGTGAAGATTCCGGGGTCTCCAGCAACCCATATTTGCCGTAAAAGGTGACTATGCTTGTCGTTTAAGGGCGACTAACGGGATCGGGTGGTCAGGCTCGCTGACTTGGTTGATACATGTCATCGATCCCAATTGCGTGGATCGATGCTCATGATGTCAATCACTGGATTTTCTGGTCCAGATTCGATTATTTTACAGACCGCCGTCATATAGCTGGAATATTGCTGAATGCGGCGTTAAACAACAAACAAACACACATGAAGCACCCATGATCTGACCGCCTGAGTACAAATGCTACTGATCTGTGTGAATGGATTAGTTATCCCGACGATTTCATATATGACAACCACGTGACTTGGTTGATTGCGTGTCAACGTACCCCAACGGAGTTGAATGGTGCGTGAGATGGGTTTAACGCCGCTTTTAACAGTATTCCAGTTATATCGCGGCGTGTCAGCTTAATGTGGGCGGGAAGCCCGAAGTGATGCAGGTCTCAGACTTTTACCACTTCGGTGAAACCAACGGGCACGGGTATGGTGCTGACAAACCTAGAAACATAATCGAGGCGAACCGGGATTCTAACCCACAATCATAGGTTTCTGGCGTGCCCATGCAATGGGACGCAACTCTGCACAGCGAATCGCGGCAGTAGGTGGATGCAGCGCTCTAGGACCGCTCCTGGCCTCTGATTGGTCGTCATCAGTGGTCACGTGACCTGCGCAGGGCATTATGGGTCATGGTAACATCACGATGACGTCACTTCCGGTTCCGCACCCAAGATAGCGGCACGTCCGGTTCCGGGAGGCGTGCGCCTCCAAGATGGGGGCACGTCCGGTTTCGAAGGGCAATCTCCCCATCCAAGATTGCGGCAGGGCTCCTCCAAGATGGTGGGAGGAGAGAAGTTGGGAAGGTGGGAAGGAGGGAGGAGGGAAGGGAGTCGGGTTCTTTGATTTTGGTTTGGTGGTGATGGTGAAGAGGTGGAGAAGAAAACATCAAGAAAAGCTTGTGGGAAACAGGAAGCGGAAACAGACTGAATCATTCACAACACCAGCAGCAGCGGCAGCAGACAGGAAAACGGAAGTGACAGAAAACCCCGGAGATGAAACAGTGGCGCAAAGGCACGGATGGACTAACATCTTTCGTCTCACAGGACACTTACTAGTGTGGCATAATCGCCTCATGTACGTGTCCTTCAGCACGGTGTTGAAATACAGGCACTGGAATGTGCCATCACGTGCCTTCGTCCCAAGAGCATACACAGGAAGACAGTCTTGGCACTTGTCGCATTGCCATGGAGGAGGCGATGGTAATGCTTCGGTCTCCATGTCCCAGCGGCAGCCTTTCAACCGAAACCAACTCCATATCCCAATTCTCTACGTTGTTTTGCATCATGATGATGATGATGATGATGATGATGCTCTCATAGAATGCAGTGTGAATGGCTTCGCTCTTGTTTTATAGGAGAGGCACTGAAACCCTGCTTCTTGATTGGTCCAAAACGTAGCGCGCCGATTGGTCCGTTACGGTGCCCGACCTGAGCCCTGGTTTTCCAAACCGGACCGACCCTTGTGTTTCTTTTCCATAGGAAATGGATTTTAACATGGGAGAGAAAGCACAACCCCAGTTCGACCAATCAGAGCCAAGAACGGCCCGAGCGAGCCCTCTGATTGGTCCACAACCCAGGCGACTGATTGGTCAGATTTCGATCCTGTTTTGGGGATAGTCATGTCCACCGCCACAACGCTGTTGTTGCGGAACAGTCATCTGAATTCTAAAGGTGGACCGACATGGGCATACATGAACGTGATGTAGGAATGCCTACGTGATGTACTTTGTGTCTCCCCATGCAAACGTGATGTCAAGCGCGAGTACAAACAGACGTTGTTTTGGGTGTTGTTTTTTTGGTTTTATAGACATACGTGAGGTTGTCACTCACTCATCCATGCCGAGGTGTTGGCACTCGTGTATGTCTACATGCGTGCTACCATTCGTGTCTCCATGCAAACGTGATGTACTTCGTGACTCCATGCAAACGTGATGTACTTCGTGTCTCAATGCAAACGTGGTGTCATGCGTGTCTTCAAACAGACGTTTATAAATATTATTATTTATAATATTCATATGGATAAGGATAGAGAGAGATCGATAGACATACGTGGCGTTTTAGTGGCGTTTTAGTCGTGTCTCCATGCAAATGTGATGGCACTCGTGTACACATACATACATACATACATACATACGTTCTGGGCTCTGATTGGTCGAACCGAGGTTGTGCTTTCTCTCCCATGGTAAAATCCATTTCCTTTATTTTTGAAAATGCGCATGTGTTTGACCAAATATGCGTTCACCCTATTTCATCTGTTAGACGTTCATGTCGGATCATTTTCACATTTCGTTTTCCGTTTCATTAAGTTATGACTTTTCAGCTTGGCCAAAATGGCGTAATGTTCCACAACTGACTTTCCCCGTATGGACAGTTACCAACTTACCACATTGGTAAAATCTATGAAAACGGGATTGGTACTGGCGAATCTAGGATTCAAAAACACGATCTTCGGATCCGCTGTCGTATTGACAGCTATTCGCGGCGTCTTGGCGAATACACCCCTACCTCAGTGCCCCCGAGTCATTGCAAGTTAGTGAGTGAGTATGGTTTTACGCCGCTTTTAGCAATATTCCAGCAATATCATGGCGGGGTACACCAGAAATGGGCTTTACACATTGTACCCATGTCGGGAATCGAACCCGGGTCTTCGGTGTGACGAGCGAACGCTTTAACCACTAGGCTACCCGACCGCTCCTGCAAGTTAGTGAGTGTGTGAATTGGGTTGAACACTGTTTCCTTTAATACTAGCGCATGTCAGCTGAATGCACGTCTGTTGCGTTGACATCATACTAGGTCCCCAGTGACGTAAACGAAAATAAAATACCTTATTGAAATACATTCGTTTCTTTGCAAATTGTATCCCAACTTGAATAATTTTATATTACATTCAGTCATTAATAGTATTAAACACACAATCAAAAGAACGTATGCATTTCGAATTTTGATTGTAGTGCTGAAAAAAAGAAAACACATTGCTTTTAAAGGATAAAAATGTGAAGAAAAAAATGTTTGTGACTTCGAGCCGACCAGTCCTTGTTTTATTCCCTTATGCTGAGAAGACCTGGGTTTGATTCCCGACATGGGTACAATGTGTGAAGCCCATTTCTGGTGTCCCCCTCCGTGATAATGCTGGAATATTGCTAAAAGCAGCGTAAAACCATACTCACTCATTCTAGTTGAAGTATATACTCATATTTGCTTTTTGAGAGTCACGACACAGATGGTCTTATGTACTGATAATAAATTGTTGACATCTTCAGATTTCTTGGACTTGATTGACAGCACATTCAAAAAACTGCGCCAACTCTTTTAAAATTCTATTTCCATCCTGTCCTCAAGACAGGTGTCACTTTGATGATTTGGAGACACTCGTTTACATTATGGAATATATCAGAACAAAACCGCAGATGTTTATAAAAACACTCATTATTTAATTATCTCATAGGGTGGAAACAAAGTGTTGTGAATCTAAATTACAATGAGAGGGAAGTGATAAATATTTGCATACAATCAATAAAGCTAGTGCTGTTACCTCACAAACTCAACAAAACAAACCTGACTGATGGAACACTAAAAATGGTTCACATGGAGAAAATGATTTCGATAATGGCAGTTTCTTATGTTTCAATACTCACTGCATCAGATAGGTTTTTACCTTGAATGCCTCTGCCATGCTTCAATGCTGAGTGGATAAAATAAAGAATGCACTTTCACAGAGACTAGAATAACGAGTAAGTACATAGTTTTACAAGTCATATTGTTTACCATTTTGATCTCAGAACAGAAAAATAAGATCTTCATTAAGATACTACTTTATGTTCAATAAACGATATTGTATGTTTGAATTAATGACAATTGAAACAACAATAATAATCAATAATGAAGACAGTTAATGAAAATAACTGGAGCCTTGAATCTACAAGCAGTCTGATCCTATATATATTTAATGTAAAAAATATCTTTCCAAATAAATATCTGTGTTTCACATTGAGAGGAGTCCCCGCCAAAAGCAGAATTGATGAAGCTATGGTATGCATTCCAAGACCATAAAGCTGTTGTACAAGTTACAATCAGATCAACTTGTGTGTGAATGTCCCATGTGGAATTATGATACCACCAAAACAACAGCTGCAAAAACAAAATGAATTTCTAAAACGGAAAACTGACCTAATAGAACCGCTCACGGCTGCATTATGAAGCACAGTCGAAGGGAGACAACTCTACAATATTTCTGAGATTCATTTTAAAAGATACCTGGACATTCATAATATAATTTTGTGAGGGTCAAATAGGATTACGTAAACAACATACAATTGTCACACATAAAGGTCCAATTCCTAATTTTGTTCAGAGATTGAGCTTTACTGATAATGCACATTCCCTTGTTTAAATTTCAAATAAACTTTACACATAACATTGAATTTTTCAACAGCAAATCTGAGATTATACAAGGCCGGAGTTAACTTTTTTTCACATGGGGGGGGGGGGGGGGAAATATTTGTACAAGTATCACTTGTCCCCAACTTGTATTTTCATGATTCAAATAAAACTGTTTTCTATAAAAAAAAATCCCCCCCCCCCCCCCCGGCTGGCTACGGCACTGTTATACCAGCATTGATGACAGCTTTGAGTAACTATCATACACACATAACCCCCATACAACAGAAAACAAATCATCTGAGTATTCGTACAACATATATACTACTCAAAAGAAGTTAAGGACCACCCAATTATTTAATATTACTACAGCTACCCAATTCTTTCACATAACTATAGTTAATCTGTCATGGCAGATAATGAAAGAATTTGGTGGTCCTTAAAGTTTTTTTAGTAGTATATTTACATCTAAAAGGATATCAGTAAAGAGAGATATTGAGATGATTAAATCAGATTACACCTCTCAAGTGTGTTATGTCCAGTTTCAGCAGCTTGTTTTTCTGAGTAACTACCCTGTATGTCCACATGCAGACGTTGGTCGATTCAATTTAGGTTCAAGGCTTCATCATCATGTAAAGTTCATCAAGTTCGCAGCTGATGTGGCACAAGTAGGTTACTGTCCCCATCTGCAGGTGAGTCAGCGCAGTCATCTTACACCTCGAGCATTGAAATACATATCCCCTTGAGGGAGTCACTAATGTATACTTATTGAGTGATAATCAGAAAAACGTACTTCCTGCTATAGATTCAAACTCATTTTAAGTAGATCGCTTATTCTTTAGTACATAGCAACAATTGACAAGTAAACAGTGTTACAATGATGAGACATGTTAATAATATATTGTAAACTGTCCAAAGAAGTTTAAACAAAGGCTGACAATAATTACTCTTCACGATGTCAAATTAACTTTTCTAAAATTGTAAACTTCCAATATCAAGTGAAATAAATAAGATCATGTCAGATCATGATTTTTAAGTCAATGTCTACACATTAGATTGAAAACAAAGATATTTTTTTTTTAGCTGAAACTCAGTCCCCATTCTAAGAACACATTTAAAATTTGAGTTGTACATAACTTGACATCAAAGCAAATACAATTATAAGATAGATCAGCTGATCAACTGAAATTTAGAACAATACTAATTTCATATCAATACTAGAATGTTCCTCTTGAGATTCTTACAAATAAGTTACAGCTGTACGAGCTATAAACAAATAATTAACAGAAGTAAACAGTCTGGTTAATATAACCTGACATCTTGAATCCAATAAAATATAATAACATTTTGATAAAGCTTTAAATTTTGACATTGATTTTAACAAAATTAGTTAAAACTTAATATTATGGCACTATAAACAACCAAACAGTTAAACAATAATAAAACCATCCGGTGGAAAAGCACTATGTTGTAAAGAATCAAATATGTTGGAATTTCCCAAAACACCAGTTTGATTATTTTCCATCAAGTTTTACTATTCCTATCTGTCCAACAAAACCTGTCCACAATAACAGAGTATAAAACCCAGCATGACAGTTTGAGAACATTCACTGCATACTGTTATCTGGTTGTACATTTCATCAAACAATCAAAACACCGGAACTATTTCATGGGTTTAAAGTGTCCCCTGGAGTGGCATTGACATAAGTCTTTACTTGTTGACCACTCCAGCTTCACACATTCTAAGAAATAAATATGTCTAAAACAAAGTGTCCTCTCGAAAAAGTCTGAAAGAAAACTTCACCAAATAAACACTCAGGAACAACTATAAAGTCAAAACAAAATGAGATTTCAGATTTACAAACAAAATAAAGTTAACAATAACAATTTTCACACAATTGCAAATACGATCCAAAATCAATAGCCAACAGAGCCTGTTCCTATGTTCAAAATGAACTTCAGTTTTACACATCAGGTTGTGGAATAATATAACTGCAGCACAAACGGTTACAGAGGGTAACTATGGTAACCTTTCAAGTCTATGAATGGCATTTAGAAGCGATACACATAAAGGAAGAGAATTTATGCATGTCAACTTCTTTATTATGAGAAACACAAGTCAAGGAGGAAGTAAATACTCCAAAACTGTGTGTTCCTCGTCGTAAAGAAGTTGACATCCATAAATTCTCTTCCTTGTGGTAACCTTGACAATGAGCTACAATGATACAGAACAAGCATCCCTTAACCAGGATACAGAGTAGAAAATCCCCACTGACAGACACACACCATTAAGACAAGTAACTAATGCCATATAAAGGATGAACAAGATCCCATTAATGTTCATCTTGAGCGCTAGAAAGACCAAATATTCAACATCACAGCTGTTATTCTGATAGAAAGACAGGGCTTTACCCAGGACGGGTTACAAATGGAAGAAAACTTCAAGCTATGATTTTTAGATATGAGGATATTCTAATGTATAAACATGGCTGGTCAAGAAATTATTTTTTCCCCAAAGGTCTCATTTACCTGACGGTACATTGGAAGGGTTCGAAAACATAATTTTTCCAGGTAATCAATATATTTAACGATCACAGAAATTTGATGAAACTTTTTAACATTACATTCTCTTAAAGATAATCGAATGAGACAAATAAATAAACCTTGATTTGGAATGGTGGGTCATGATTAATATTCACTGGGATTGGTCCAGTGGGTAAGAGAATTTGTTGAACCACACAGTGACTGGATCATACCTAAAGGTACTAGCTACTTTGGGAAGATTATTCCAGGTACAGCTCTGGATAAAGCTCTGTTCGACAATTATGGAATAATCCTACACATTGAAATCCGAATACACATAGCATCATATGTGCATCTAAGACCAAACTGCACCTCATATTTGGAGAAAAAGAATAAAACTTTAAAATGAGAGACAAAGTATCTTCCTCTAATATTTCCACTCATAGACTTTTTAATCTCATAAGTTTGATTTAGAACGCCCCACTACATGACCACCTGTCCTGACATGGCTGTTGTCTTGGTCATGGTTAGACAATGACATGGATGAGTTTCCTAGCATCCAATATTAATTTAATATTCATCAAATTCATATTAGCATTTATAAAACTATTGCAAAACTGAGCCCATAAAAACTGGAGCAATGAGTATCATAGAAGAGACAACGATGATGAAATGATTTTGATTACTGCAAAACTTTCCTTGAGGTAGTGCTTATAAAAAGCCTGCAAAACAGTTAAAGGAAAGCAGTGGGAACTTCTCATGTGGACATCAAATATATAGGGATCTAGGGTAGTTTTGATCGAATTGTGGAAATTCCATTGAAGACTGTCCTCCCTTTATAATTAACAGACACAGAAAATTTACATCAAGTTGGCCCAAATATTCGAGAACTTTTAAAAATCAAGAATGATATGCTAACAATTATGATTAAAGACCTTCATGTGGCAAAAATATCAGAGGATATATATGAAAATAAAATTTGATCAAAGTAAATGTATATTTGTTTGGATAAACTCCACAAACAAGAACAAACTATCACCCAATATTTAGCCTAGCTAAAACTTACTTCCAAAGAATTATTCAACGAATGTTAGGACAGTTCTTTGGCTGTATTTCTTAAATTTCTGGCGAGATAGATTAAGTATAGCAATAGCGTCAGCTCTGCTTAGACCTATTAAAATATCGAATATACAAAACATATCTCATCTACAAAATACTCATTACATCTTCTGGCAATGACCTATTCCTAACAAAGTCATCACATTACCATCAACCATGACCATTATCTTCTAATCACTCAGGCACCCTCACTGCTGTGGCCAATCCCAGGTCTCGGGCTCGAAGCTCTCGTAGTTGGTATCATAGATGTGGGATCTGATGAAGTCCTCCTTGTCCTTGGGTTCTGGGTAGGTGGAGGCTAGACCTTTGGCGTACACATACTCTGCCAGATTGGTAGCCAGTTTGACGGACACCTCACGGATGTTGCTCAGCGGAGGGTACACGCGGCCCTCCTCAAGATCCTTGTCGGTTACGATCTTGGCCAAGCTCTGATATAAGGGAGAGATCATTGTTACTTGAGGATCATTGCAGAAAATATACTACTCAAAAGAAGTAAAAGAGCAGCCGATTCTTCCATATTGTTACAGTTAATCTGTCATGACATGACATACCATGACAGATGAACTATTGTCATGACATATTAACTATTGCCATGACAGATTAACTATTGCCATGACAGATGAACTATTGTAATTTGAAAGAATCGGGTGTTCTTTAACTTCTTTAGAGAAGGAAATTAAAAAATTACATTAAAGTTATTTTTTGGAGTTCTGATAATTTTTCGAACTTTGAGTGGTAAGCAGGGGCCGTATTTATCAAACAACTTAAGTCATAAATAAAACTTAAGTCAGTTAAAAAAACTTAGTTTTCTTGTTTTTTTACTTAAGTTTAGTGGAAAAACTTAAGTCATATTTATCAAAAGACTTAGACTTAAGTTTTGTCATTTTCTGACTTAACTATTAAGACTCACCTTGCTAGGCTTAAATCATGTATGTTTGACTTAAGTCATGTAAAATGGCTGCCAGACGCAATTCAAGATTATTTAATGAGAGAAGAGATATACTACATTCATTAGATGACAATGAACTGATACAGCGGTACAGATTTGATAGGAACAGTATTGTTTATATCTGTGATATCCTTGAGCAGGAGTTGAGTCCTATAACACAGCGGAGCTGTGCCGTGTCCTGCGTTACGAAGGTGCTTGTTACTTTGCGTTATCTTGCCACTGGCAAGTTTCAAATGTGTAACGGTGATGACCATGGTCTGAGCCAACCCACTATATCTCGGGTGATTTTCCAAACGCTTGACTCCCTCACAAGTCACCGTATCCTTCGTAGATTTGTTACCTTTCCTGTACAACCCCAAGAAATAAGACGCCATCAACAGCGCTTCTATCAGACTGCCAATTTCCCGGGTATTGTTGGGGTAATTGATGGCACCCACATTCAGATTCAGGCCCCATCAGTCAATGAGAAAGAATTTGTCAACAGGCATAATTACCATAGTGTAAATACACAAATAGTGTTTGACAGCGACGATCATATAATCGACATCGTTGCACGTTGGCCTGGCTCAACACACGACTCCCGCATTTTGACAACAAGTGGGTTATGTCAGATGTTTGAGGGGAACCAGCTACCAGTAAGTTGTCATCTGCTTGGAGACAGTGGCTACCCTTGTCGGAGATGGATCCTAACACCATTTTTGCGTCCTCTCCAAGGACCACAGACAAACTACAACAGGTATAAATATTACTTCGTTCAGTTCACTACGAGCACTCAGCAATAGAGTGACTTCCCCTGGTTAGGTAGAATACTATCTCAAACCTAAAAACGGAATGGAAGAGTTACACATATTTGCTGTAAAGTATTATTCAGTATCATTCCGTTTAATTCCTACTTAAGTGTCGTAAAATTATGTAAGTCGCAAATCAGGTAAAAAAATATGTATGATTATGTATTCATCAGTAAGAAATATTAATCATTTTATCTCACTTCTCTTTTATGTATGAAAACATACTAGTATGAAGCATTGATTCTATGAAATATAACCACACACATAACAAGAAACAGCAATATTAAGGGGTTTGCAATATGTTGTCATTATAATGACCAATGGATTGAAAATGTTAGTTTCTATCGCTGAGAACATAGCAAAATGTGTTCTTCTTTTTCTTATACTCCCAATTTAAATTTTATATGATTATCTGCTAATAATGATTATTCATTGCAATTGTCAGATCACATAAGAAAACAAGGAGTTGTGTGGAGAGGGGAATTGGGCAGCTGAAACGTCGGTTTCATGTTTTACATGGGGAAATCAGACTTTCCCCACAGAAGGCGTGCAAGGTATAGAAATTAGAAAATGTTTTCATTTCTTTTTATTCAATTTCAGTAAAAAATGGAGAGTCTTCATAGACTTACACTTTAATGGAATTATTTCTTTTTCACATTATTATTGTCAGGACTAGATATACTGTAGGTTGATAAATAAACAAACAAAATACGGTGAACATTAATTTTTTATTCAATGAAGACAGTAACATTTCATCAATATGACATTAAACTCACTCACTCACTCACTCACTGTCATGTGTTATTGTAAAAAAAGTCAACACAATTTCATAATCTGTATCTGTATTGATGTTCAATATTCATTTTCTTTTGACTTATTTTATATCTAGCTTAAGGGAAAAAATTAGGCAAATATATCTGAGATCAAACAGTACATAGTATAACATATTTGAAATACAGACCATACATTTCACTCTTTGTCAAATTCAACACATTCTAGAAATATTTGTCATTAGATTAAGGCCACATCAGTTCATGAAAGGGTATTGAATAGGCTTTTTAAACATTTTTCTAGGTAATAACTGCCTGTGCAGTGCTGCATAACCTCAGCAAAGACAGGAATGTGCCTATGCCAGTTGTACATGGAAACAGCCAATCCGGACAGCTAAGGGCACAGATGCAAGGTCTATCAGCCATTGCACCTGCAGCAACAGGGTTGAGATATCGGGAACAGTTTGCAATCACCTACTTTCCATGTAAGTTATTTCCTGCTACTATTACTATTACTCTAAGTATGCACTTAGTATTAATTTAAATTTTCCTAAGGGACAGCCCATTTGATATTCGGGGGCGGGTGGGAAAAATACATTGTTGCAAGGTGTTTTTCTAAAAACATTTAGCTCATATTTTTAAATAAAGCGATATCTGTGTCTGTAGCTGAAAATCTATCTAATCTTGATACAAAATATAATACTAGCCCCTACCCCCAAGCAAATATCAAATGGTCGGTCCCCACTTGCGTGACATGAGCTTTACAGTCTATTCTTCTACTTTGTAAATTTTCTTTGTTAGATACTCTTTTCTTAATTTTAAACATTCAATTTCTAATACAAGTTTTTCTTTGTTTAATGCTTCCATAGAAGTCTGATTCTGGCACTGGCAAGTCCTCTCTGGCACGTTGAACACATTGGCCATGTCCTCAACTTCACCGCTGAAAGAAATATATATACATTATTTGTGTATTCGGAGCCTTGTGTTTTGCTTTTATACAGAGACTTGTCAATAATTGCAAATTGACTGCCTGTTGCAGACACATTGGGAAAGAACTTTAAAGAAGTATACTTTAAATTTTGATTTCATAAATATATTTTGGGGAGTATGTAACAAAGCTGACAAACATGAAATACTAAGTGATGCAATAATGTTAGTACAATATCAACATCAACATTTATGTCATTTGTACCTCTCTCTTGATGTCATGACATCAAGCAGTTGTAGGGCCGTCGAATCACAGGAGTTGGATATTCCTGTCAAAGACATGTTGTCCCTCCCTATGGCCTCTACAACTGCATCTGTGACAGGACTTACAGGGATGGGAGGTGGACCGCCTCCTGTAAGTGCAAGAAGCAGTATAGGTTATAGTGTGAATGGTGTTATAGTATTTAGAAACATATTATCACAAAACCAACACAATATAGAGACAAGTACTCTTTTGACCTTCAAACATTGAGATAGGTTTGTGTTGGTATAATTATACTCTTAATATACAGCAACAAGTTACAATGTAGGTCTTAATAATAACTGTGAAGGGATGACAATATCCTTTTTCCACTTTCACATTAACTATATCATTTTAGGTCACCTTTTTTATCAAAACTATTTAATAACTAAACTAATGTATCCATAAGTATGTTTACCAGTGGCAATGGTTTGCTGCCTGAAATTAGAAAAGGCTTTCTTTGACTGGCTCTTCAGGTTTTTCCATTTCTTTTCAACCTCCTCCTTGGTCCTCCTGTGCATTAAGCTTGCATTAAGGGTGTCTGTAATCATCTGCAATATAAACATAACAACTCAAATGAAAAACACATCAAATTACATTAATAATTTTTGTCAGTATTAAATCATGCTATATGCACACTGTACATTGTACCCAGTTTTAAGACTTAATTTCTGTCCTTGTGGTATTACACTCAAATTGATTTCTGAAATAAAGTACTGATTGAAAAGAGATATCTTTATTTTTAAACATGAGACCAATTATTCATGATGTTTTAAGCCTTTTAATAGTTTTTATGTCCATTGAAATATAAAAATTGAAGTGAATTATGTATCGTGATACATAGTGTATCATGAACTGAGTATTGCGATATGTATCATATTTTGTATCCAAAGCCCAGTTTTAGCAAAGCTGTTTAGACCCAAAATTATATGGGACTGTGTTACTAAGAAAATAATATTATTCATATTTCAGTATATTGTCATATATGTTTTACATTAATATTGTAAACAAGAGTATATGTGCATTACATAATATAACATTTCATCAAGTTCATAATATGACTATGCAGCACTAGATCGAGGTTGTATGAGATCCATCACAATATATTTATTACTAATTAATGCATAGGAACACATTGATTGGTCTTGATATGGAAATGACATCTTGACCCTGTAATAAGTTATTGTTAAATTAGTTAAACTAACTTAATTGTATGCTTTTGACATGAAAGTGATAGTAATGTAACTTTAGGATACTAACATGAGGCCTAGGACTAATGTATACTTTAGAAGCTAATGCAAATGCCCCAAAAGGAGTACAAAATGACATAGATCTAGGCTACTGGTTTGGGTTCAAAATCACCTAAAATTTTGGGTAAAAGTTGTTAGGGGTACAGACAATAGGCCTACCCCGATGAAGAAACAAACCACAGTGCAACTTGAAAAAGACGAAAATAATTGTTTGGGTCTCATTGTGTAAATATGACCAAAATATATCATTCCCGTGGTACTGGACTTACGAAGTGTGATGATGGAAGGTTGGAAAACGTCTTGGTTATTATTCGACCACATGCATTCCTTGATACGCATTACGGCCTTGTCTGCTACATATGTATGTAAAATTAATGATGTAAGCAGCTAAACCTCTCAAAAAAACAGTAAAAAAACACTCACTACCTCACGTACCTGCCACGCCTCCTGTCGCTTCAAGGAGGTGATGCCGGGGCCAAACTTTCCTTCAAGCACCACCTTGTTTGATGCCACCAGCTCTGCTAGTAGTAACGATTCTTCTTTGGTAAAGTTTGGCCGTCTCTTTTTCGCGTCTTCGGTCATGGCGTGGGCCTATCTTGGAGCTCGCAGCGGTGTTTATTATCGTCTGCGCTGTCCGGGAATTCCCCGATGACGTTTTTCTCTCTCTTAGTGAAAAGAGTTCCACTGGTAGGCTAAAAATAGCTGGGATAGTCCTTAGTGATCACGTGTTTGCATTCGGTGAAATCGACTTAGTTTCTCACGGCAGACTTAGCTAAGTTTTTTACTTAGACGCTTCGTGAATACCAACTTAAGTTTTTGACTTGGCTAAGTAATTTTTCAGAAACTTAAGGTTTTTTTAAAGCCAAAACTAAGTTGTTTGATAAATACGGCCCCAGGGGTCCGGAAACGGTCATATGTGCCGGACATGTCCGATTGGGAATCTCAAATGTCCGGTTTAAAATATTGCTTACCAGACATTTAAATTTTTCTGTCTGGACATTTAAAAAACAACAACAACGCTACCTTCGGGGTCCAAATAATTGATGAGCGTTATAGTAGATCTCTATCCCTTCAGCAAATTCAGGTGAATAATCAGGCAAACAAACTTGGTCAATAAAAGTATGAAATTTGATATAAAACATCACTAGTTGTGATGATTTGCCGGTTAAAATGTATTTCCTGCTCTCCAAGGCATTGTTTTATATGCAGAGATTAAGATGACCGTTTGTATTTTCTCGTAAACTAAGCCGGAAATAGCAATCAGCTGTGCACACGTTTTGTCCCAATCTACCAGTGATTCAGTTAAAACGTAAGGCACTGGTAAGGCAAATGAACGTAAATTTAAAGCATATTAAATTCTTAGATTTTTATTGCCACCAGCCTCACTACCAAACATCTGCCTCATATCAATTTATTTTCCCAAAGCACTGACAGATACAGACAATCTCTACATGTTTTCCTACCAAATGTTCATGGATCATGTGAGTCACTTCTGCCAACAGGAGATGTACACAGATACCATGGCCAGTCCGTTACAGAAAACAAACATACAATAAAAGTTACATTAAATTATTGTGGCCAAAACCACTTCATATTAATTTTTTGAATGTGTCTTTTGACTCCAGTCAGTCGAATCCCTGAACAGAAAAATAAGAAATGGGCCACATGATGTATAAGGTTGGACAGACTTACCCGAGCAGCAGCCAGGAAGACAACCTCAGGGATGTGTCTGACCCCACAGGTGATGACTCCGAGAGCTACCCCTGGGAAGATGTAAGCGTTGTTACCCTGACCAGGGTACAGGGTCTTGCCCCCAATAGTAAAAGCTGGGAACGGGCTGCCACTGGCAAACACACATCGACCCTGCAACCCACGACACAAAGCAATGGTGACAATCTGTAGGACACAAGCATTTGTCATGATGTATTCCAAACAAAAATGGTCAAGGTCATAATTTTAATACAAATGATGAAAGTTCAAATTTAGGGGATTAATAACTCCAGGAGTAAAATTAATAAGGACCCCCAGGACCACCCGTAAGTGCTATTTCAAAACTGCTTTGGCCATGTTGGCTTGACCAGCTGCATCTTCCCAAGGCAAGAGTGTTCACTAGCCCAAGTTTCTCCCCTTGCCACATCAGGGCCACATTCCTTAGCTTGACCCTGGTGCCACCACTCATAGATCACGAGTTGTGCCCCTTGTAATGAAAATGTGATATCCAATCAGATTTTAAAAGATGAAAAAGACATATTTGTGTCACCAAAGACAGGACAGGCTGCGGTAAATCACTTTCATACTAAGGTGTACCAGTTGTGGATGTTGATAATGTGAAACGTTCTCTATTTGGACTATCAATATGTGCGATAGTCCAATCACATTTAGCACAGGAAAGTGGGCTTGATGTGGTAAGGGTGGAAACAGGATTTTGATAAAAAGGCTATTTGAAGCTCTTGCCTCGGGAAGGACCAGTTGTTGAGCTGGATTTTGCGACACTTTTATCAATATCCCCACAATATCACAGCAGATAACACCAGAAATAAACTTCACACATTGTATTGAATCAAACCCGGTCCTTCGACGTGACAAACGAATGCTGTAAGCATTAGGCTTCCCAATTACCCCCATGGAGTGAGTGAGTGATTCAATGTTCTTTTTTGTCACAATTAGCCATATTTTCTAATTATTCTGGACCAGACAACACAGAGGGCAATGATACAACTGGTCAAATCAAGTCACTGAGTGGTAGTGATAAACAACTGATTGATACCAGTCCATGAACCAAGCTTCAAAAGACAAAGTAAAAAGGTGGCTTCAACTGGAGCCCAGTATGCATTTAATCGGCATCAAAATGTCCTCCATTTTGACAACTAATTTATTGTGGATATGAAAGAGTGATCAGTCTATAAAGCCATCAATCTCATCAAAATCACTATCTTATTTCTCGCTATCACTAAACAAAGATCTGAGGACATCTCATTACGGGATGTAAATGTCTACCATCTCAGAACGACATTTCATCCGACCAATCAAAGCATCGCTTACCAGATCATAAAGTGACAGTCGGAAAGTGTCATGCAACCCGGAAAACGTTAACACGGGGTATTCCGCACGACAGTTACGGACCCTACGACTAATTCTGTCAAAATTATCGTCTATCTCTCGCTTCCGTCGGATAAACATTTGAATGGAGGAAGCGTTGCACAGTACGTGGGAAGCACTGCCATAAAATCACAACCATATATTAGACATTCCGGATTGTTCGTTTGTTCAGTTTTAATATTTTTAATCAAGAACTGTGTCAACATATTTTTCAAGCGTAGTCTGAAATGGAAGTCGCCAGGTTGAAACAACTGTCGTAAAGCTCGAGAACGGTTGAGATCTTTGTTTAGAGGCAGCGAGAACTTAGATCTGATTTTTATGAGATTGATAAAGCCATCTTCCATATGATTATAATTACTCTTAAGTTTCAATTATCCGTCAATGTATTTGATCACAGTTGTTTTTTCCCAACACATATAAGGGATGAAGTTTTTGATAGGCATTTAGAAGTTGGGAGAACATGAATACATGACACCTTTTTATGGATAGCAATATTCTTTGTACAATGTTTCAGGGTTTCTTCTCCTGCTCCTTCATCATAAAAAGGTGTCATGTATTCTAAAAGTAATGGTTGAAATAAGCTGTGTACCTCTGTACAGGTGTAGGCTTGTTCTGCAGTACACTCAGCCATTGACGTTGGGTTACTGAGAGCAAAGATGATTGGTTTATCATTGATCTTGCCCATGGTCGTCAACACGGCCTCGGTGAAAGCTCCGGGAACAGCGGCAGCTCCTGAAGTGGAGAGGTCTTGTTATTTATTCAAGTCTCTTGTAACTAGGCAACAGTATATATGTCACCTGTCCGATTTTCAATCACGAATGTTGATACTACCTAATTTCGTTTATCCGACATACCCGTTAATCCGACATTATCATATGCAACCAACAATGTTGGATTAACGGGACTTGACTGTACAAGTCACCTATACAAAGCCATAGTTATAACTGTAACAATAGAATTGGGACATTTTTCATTGTGGAATTTGTACTGACATTTGCTTCCGACTTTGGACACATGTAACAGACTAATCATATGAGTTCTTCAGCAAAATAACTTTGAGTGCAGAGTTTGAAATTGCCACTAGTCCTGTAGCCCTGCAAAACTGCCCAGTAGGTATTTTAAGACGAGTAAAACATTTGCCATTTTTAAGGGTTTTGCTATATGTTATCATTACAAGGACGAGTGCACTAAAAATGTTTAGTTTCTACTGTTGGAGTGAAATTTAGATCTTGCGCCCTCCACAGGATCCCCAGTATGGTAACTTCAATTACAAAAAGGTTGAATTTTGACAAGTAAGCCAAATTCAACATTAATACCTCATTACATCCATATAGAAGATTCATTAGACTTTACAAGATGATGATTGGTCAATCAGATGGCTAGATTTTATGACAGTGAGTGTGTATAGTAATATGCTGCTTTGAGTAACACATGTATTATGGCAGGGGGACACCACAAATGGGCTTCATACATTGTACCCATGTGGGCATCAAACCCAGGTCTTCAGCGTGATGAGTGAACGCTTTTACCACTGCCCCAGATGTTAAGACAAGCAAAGATAAAAAAGGACACAAGTGATATCAAATAGTGCTGCTACACAGTACCATGTTAATGCATAGCTTCAGATTGATTTGAGTGCTCATGCAAGTAACTAAGTACCCAGTACCTACGTGTCATCGTTAGAAATTGGCACTTGTCCTTTAGTCCTTGCCAAACTGACCTGAGTTAAGGTATCTACAAGGACTAGTAGAAATTTTCCCTTTTTTAAGGGGTTTGCTTATGTTATCATTTTAAGGAATAGGGCACTAAAACAGTTAGTTTCTATTAGTTGCCGTGGTTACCACATTCCTTCATCCATTCAGCTTTTAAAATCAGTTTTTCTATTGTTACTACCAAGATTACCCTGTTAGAAAAGACTGTCAACGTGCTGAAGGGGTTACAATACACTCTACATCCCTGACTGGCTACAACATGTCAAAGTGATATAATATTATCTGAAGTTGTTATATTATCCTTACACTTTGGCCATGCCTATCAGAATACTGTCATTACCTATCAACGCTGTTGGCTTAATTTCTGTCACTATTTCCTCTAGAGACGTCATGGGTTTGATATCTTTGGCAAAATCTTTCTTGTGTCCCGTAACACCCCCTGAAGGACGGTTCTGTTGACAAAACAAACACATGAAATGTTTAGAATTTATAAATAAAAGACCACTGACATGACATCAATTCACCACTTTTCAAAAGTCATGCACCATCCTATATTATATATTTCATATTAAATTTTTCATTTAAGAAGTGTCAATCCTTGGTTTCATTTTGGTAGTGATATCTGATAAGTCCATATCACTAAACTGACAATGTGTGTGTGTATGCGCGCATGTAATTTTTAATGCGACACTCAGCAAGATTCCAGCTATATGACAGCAGTCTTTAAATAATAGAGTCTGGACCAGACAATCCAGCAGTGATCAATCATGTGAGCAACAATCCATGCCATCCGAGTACAAAGACACGCAATCAACCAAGTCACCGAGCTTAACCACCCGATCCATTTGGTCGCCTCTTACGACCTGCGTAGGTTGGGGCCAAATTCCAACCCTTTTTGGTAGTGAGGCAGACAGGGATGAAAATCTGATAATCAATTTAGTCCTTTCCAAATAAAAATGAAGAATAAATAGTTCCAATGAATGCTAAATATCCACACAAACATAAAGCCAGTTCATAATGCTTACATTGACAATAAGTCCCCTAGAGTCCACCATGAAGATCTTGCTGAGTGCTTGTTCTCTGGTAGCCCCTTCCTCTTCCATAGCCAGAGCCAGGAGGGAGGCAATGCCTATAGAAGCCTGCAAGAAGATCACCACACACTGAAGGAATGCTGACATCTTCATATCAGTGTGCCAAATTCACCATGAAAGTCGATGGGTCCTTGTCATTGTCCTAATGTTAAAAGTTAAAGATTCAAGGGGTCCCTAGATTGGAATACTATAGGATAAATAGTTGACAAATATGTATCAACTTTAAACACGTAATAAAAACTGCTATTGTACATCACCTGATATATCAAGCATGAAAAAATGATATTGTGATATGTATCGTTGAAAGAATGAACCTCAATTTACCGATATACCGGTAATACTGCAGACCATTAATTACAGGAGCATGTCTTTTTTGTCATTTTCGCTCCAGTCGGACCTCTTACATAATTAATGATAGGTTCTTAGGTGTCTCATTCATTGCAAGTGATTCATGGATCAGGAGTGAGTGAGTCTGCATTTGAAGAGTATTTAAGTTACATCATAGTGAAGCGTAATGTGGGAAGCTCAAAGTGAAGTAGGTCTTAGACTTTCACGAACATACTGAGCACTGATATGTGCTGACACACCAAGGATCCTAACCAGGGCAAACTCTTGATTTAGAGGCAATGAACTGCAAATCCTGGTAAGTCTAAGGGGGAGAACTCTGTAAACTACAGAGCTACAGATAAGCTGTGTATCTGCGTGAAATACACATCAGAAATGCAGAAATACGCAGTAAAGTAAAATCCATAAAGTAAAATATGCAACGAACATTACAGATACGCAACAAAAATAAAACTTGTGCGTATCATCAAAATATTGTGAAGTAACCCTGCGTATTCGATTAGCAAATCAGCAACTTATTTTGAAATTATAAACGGACATTCCGTCAACCTTGCCAAACTCCACAATGACAGTTACATCATGATCATTTGCCATCACACTTTCTTGTGGAAGTATCGTGGTATTTTTGAGTCCTATAAACATCTCGAACCCACACGACATCAGTTTGCAGGAACTAGATGAATAGTGTTTTTAAATATTTAACTTAAATACCCACATGTGTAAAAAACAGTGGGTAACAAAAATTTGAATACCCGGATAGAATTACTGATACCCAATGATTTTAAAATGCATGGGTAAAATACCCACAACACCAAAAGCTTATCTGGAGCTCTGAACTAATAACAGCATGGTCAACCACTGGCCCCTGCAGTAAACAAGGAATATTCAAATTACCTCTCCAGCTCCTTGGAACAGGAAGGTATTGTCTATGAGTTTCTTCCCGGTGATACGTAGAGATGCAAACACTCCTGCTGCAGCCACAGATGCAGTTCCTGTCACAAACACCATGTTGAATTCTCGCCTTAAATTTGCAGCAATATCTTATTAACAACATATCACATTGACTTGATATCAACCATTACGTATTGGCTGAATCAGACCCTAAAAGAGCAAAGTCATCATGGCAAAAAAAACTAACACACTTTAAAAGTGGGTGTTAGGCTTAATAAAATAAAAGAATTACTTCTCAGGCAATGATTTTTGAAAATATGGTGCATGCGGGTGGTGTCTTTTTTTCTTGAATTTTTTTTGGGGGGGTTGTTGAGAATAGTATGTACCCAAATAAAGAGTTGTGTGGACAAATAAAAAGTTGTGTACAATCAACCTGGGACAGTGCCTCCCTACATCAATATATTCATTGATGAGCAAAATAGTGGAATACAGTATTTCACTATTGTTGGATTTGGAATTTGGAATTTGGTTATTTTTAAATGGAAATAAAAATGAAACGTGGGGCGGACTTTGTGATGAAGCGGGCGGTGCCTGATTACCAAGATTATGTTTTTTTTCAGCCTTATCAGTACCACAGATACAGATACAGATTTGGTTTGGTTGGTTTGTTGTTTTACGCCACACTCAGCAATATTCCAGCTATATGACGGCGGTCTGCAAATAATCGAGTCTGGACCAGATAATACAGTGGTTCATATTATGAGTATCGATCAACACAATTAGGATCAATGACATGCTTCAACCAAGTCAGTGAGCCTGACCACCCAAGCATGGGTTGCTGAAGACCCCGGATCTTCATGGGTCCACAGATACAGAAGCTTATAATACTTACTTACTTACTTACTTACTTAAATACTTAAATACTCATATCCCCCGCCAATATGACATGTCTGGTTGTGTGCAAGGCAAGAAATATTGTACGGTTTTCAAGATCCGCTCCAGGCATGAGCACAGCCACCATTTTCAAAGTCAAAGTTGGTGCAATGGAATTTCTAAAAAAAATTTTTTTTTAAATCCCAAACTATCAAAAGGCATCAGTTTACCACAAGACCTATTTATGTGCCAAGTTTGGTAAAGGAATACTGTATGGTGTACTACCGCCATTTTCAGTCTAGGTCAAAGCCGTTACCATGGAAACTCGAAAAATACATTTTAAGAAAATCCCAAACAATCAAAATGCATGTGTGCCAAGTATGGTTAAGATATCTCTGATGTTTTTTGTGTTCTGCTCCAGAATCGAAACGTGACGTAACAGACGGACTGACAGCACCAATTCCTATATCCCCCTTCTACCTCGTGGTGGGGTATAATAAGCCTGAGTGAATCTGCAGATCCTGGTTGGCCAAGGGACACAAACTGCTATGATCTAGACAATTCCTGCCATTCATCTGAGCAGTAAAGCAATTGTTCAATGGGGACCCACTTGAAGCTTGTACTGACTCATTATCATGTACATACTTCAGACTTTTCTCACCTTGAATATCATCATTGAACATGCAGTATTTGTGCCTGTACTTCTCGAGGAAGCGGAATGCATTCTGATTAGCAAAATCCTCAAACTGGATCAACACATTCTGTCCGTATCTATAAAAAGAGATTTTCATTTTGTGACATATGATCCTATGAAATCATCACACCAATATTCTTTGTTTCACTAAGGTCCTCTTCCTCAAAGCGATCGTAGCACTCGTAATGTCGCAAGTCTATGTTAAAGTATGGGAGTTATAATCACCCGACTGCTAAGATCACCTTGTGGAACAGGACCACAGCCTCTTTGGTTTCTATTTTAATGATCTAGCGTACTAGTTGGCATTAAAACAAATGAAACCACATAACAAATTCAGACCTTCAACAAGGTTGATGGCATCTCCCGTTTTTCTTAACCATCTCTGTAAAACCACACCATAAAGGCACAATAGGGCATATATTTAAGCTAACCCGTACATAAAGATATACCAAGGTTTTCCCTTTCTCAACACATTAGCTTAAACTTATTGAATAATGGCTTAAACTTTCCCATTTCAACAAAAAATACATACTCACTTAAATAAATGGCTGCAATTAGTTATTCTAAGACATAATTTTTTTTCATTTAAATTCACAGGTACATGATTCAGTCATAAGTTTTCCAACAAAACAAAATAATCACCAATTTGAGGATAAAAAAATGATCATTATCCAAGTCATGCAATGTTACAAGGATGATCATTTTTCTGTAACAAACTGTCCTCATCCCTTGCTGAATGTCCTACCTCCGTGTTGCAGCCTGCATGAACTCATCAATAAATTCATCGTACACTTCTCCAGTCACTCGCTTTTGGTTAAGACCGATGTACAAGGGATCGTTGTGGTATCTCTGCAATGGATATAGAGTGAGTGAGTATGGTTTTACGCCGCTTTTAGCAATATTCCAGCAATATCACGGCGGGGGACACCAGAAATGGGCTTCACACATTGTACCCATGTCGGGAATCGAACCCGGGTCTTCGGCGTGACGAGGGAACGCTTTAACCACTAGGCTACCCGACCGCCCCCAATGGATATAGACAGAATGTAGGTGTGGTCAATGGGCCAGTAAGGACATGGGTCAACATGGTCCAACTTATTGCAATCCCATTCAAATCAGATCTTTTACTCCGATTTGATACTTCTGGATCTGCATGAAGATCTGACAAAATCTTCACCCAGTTAAGACACCATCATATAAATATAATCATGTTCAAAGCAGGATTAAACCCAATTTATTCACACACTTTCAGGGAAAATGTCAGAGATATACCAGAAGTAGCCTACCAAATGTCTAATGTATCTTTTGGCTGTTGAAAAACAATTTTATAGTTTGCCTGTTTAAAAACAAATTATATATCAACGGTTTAACAACACCTGCTCAGAGGCTGATATTCAATCTCAAGTCTGCAGCAAATCTCCATAAAATCATTATAATAATGTGTGAACTCTAATGTGTGCGCTCTACTCCATACACAAGGTGCATGCTCAAAGCGTTAACATTATTTCCCGGTCACTGGATCAGTGTGCACTCGATTTTCATTCTCAGCTCCCTGGGGAGTATACAACCCAAGCTGCCTTGTGAGGCACTAGAAGGTTAATACCGTATCCTTATAACCAATTTAACGGCTTCATCAGAAAAGGACCCATAAACATGTTAAAGAGGAATAGTCTTTTGTTTCCCTCCTTTACTCACCTCATTATTTGTGCCGACATCAAGCGTGATGGGTAGACACTGATCGGGTGGGATTCCACCGAGGGCAGTATACAGTGACAGTTTACCCACAGGGATACCCATCCCACAAGCACCAAGATCACCCAGACCCAAGATACGCTGACCATCAGTAACAACAATTGCCTGAAAAAAAAAGGAATTTTATTATGCAACATTGAAATATTCTTGTGTCTGATCACTGACTGAGCTCTAAAACATTGTACAGACTGTGTAAAAGTTTAATTTCATGTATGTACCGGTACACATATGTACAAAGGTTTCACACTTTGTTTATTTTCAATTTCGAAGTTGCACTTTTTGAGGTAACCCGCCATAATGACAAGCAATTGGTTTCATCCCGATTCTGTAAATTAGGAAAGACCTCAAGGTTTTGAAGCCTTGGAGGGGCTATTAAAATTAAATTTAACACTTTAGTGGTTTGGAAACAAAAATGACGAACAATAAAAAATTCTACCGACTCTTTCTACTTTGTTACACACAAGGAATGTTGGTACTTTGCCTTAACATGCCTTAAGAACATTTCCTCAATATTATGATAAAGATTGAGCAAGAATGGAAATGAAGTATTTTTTGACACTTGACAACACATTACATGCCAAACCAAAAGATAAAAACACACTTTGAACAATTTGACAATAGTTTAAAAAAACATCATCAAAGACTCCAGCTGCTTCAGGTGGATTGAGAGTCACCTGTTATGTATTCTGGACATTCCTCAACTAAATAAGGCAGGTGAGCTCAAAAAGGCAGGTAAAATAACTCTGAATAACACATTTTTGAAAATTGCGTAACAAATAATCACTCACCCTAATGTCTTTCTCTGGCCAGTTACAGATCATTTCATACAGATGGCCCTTGTCATTGATTGACAGAAACAAGCCCCTAAAACATGGAAAAAGGATTCATCATTTTCCTAAAATCATTCTTGAAAACTTGTGTAAAAGGATACAGTCATAGTTGGCAGTGCTATTGGCATGAATATAGGAAAGAAGTCATGGTAAGCATGTCGGCTGAAATCTGTTTTTGGGTACTGGTTTACAATTTTTTTCAACTCCTGTACTTGTTTATCAATCTACTGCATATAACCCCAGTGGGCTCTGCTGGATTGAGAGGGTTTCCCAGCAGGCTATGCTTGTCGTACAAGCTGATCTTTAGATCGAGTGTTCAGATTTGGTTGATAGCATGCCATCATATAGGGTATAAAACTCACAAAAATTTCAGCCAGACCACAGGACTGGCTAGCTGAAATACTTGCCAGCCCTGACCAAAACCTGCCTGCCCACTATAATCATATGTTTCTCAGGATAAGCTAACGGGGTTTCTTTTTGGTTACATTTTATCATTCATCTTTACATGTGAATTAATGCTTATCATCGGGAAATATTTTGAATATTTTCACATATGAAATATAACCCGACCGTCGGGCAGGGGGATTTGAAAATCTGGCAGCCCGAGTTGAAATCAACCCGTCTCGGACGGTCGGGCAGGCAGGTATTTCGAACACTGCATCATACCCTCAAAGTGTGGGACTCACAATATATGGTTTGTCTGGCCTCAACTTCCCGAGGCAAGCTTGTCCACAAGCCTATATTCAAAGCCTAGTTTCTACCCTTGACACATCAAGCCAGCTTTTCTTGGCTCGATCATGGTGCCACCTCACGTATATCAAGAGTTGTGTCCCTTTTAATGAAAATACGATATCCTATCAGATTGCTGTTCTTAGCTCGTGTGACTTCTCAAAGATGGCAACTACCATTTACGACACCTAAGTCAATCAGATAACGAAAACATTCGCAATTTCATCCCTGACAGACAAACAAAGGCAATTGTTGAGGGGTTTAAAAGATGGAATAGAAATAATTGTGTCAACAAAGACAGGCAGCAGTATATTACTTTCTTATGAATGAGTACCAGTCATGTTTAATGACTGTTCTCATCATCACACAGTACTTGGGCGAATTGATTTAAAACTTGATTAGACTTAGAAAATACTTGTCTTTGCTTAATTGTTGAAAGAACTTTGACAAGCTATATGGCAGAGGCAATGTTTCAGGAAAGTGGGCTTGATGTGACAAGGATTGATAAATAAGCTAGCGGATGCTCTTGTCTTGGAAAGATGGTCTGGCCCAGGCTTGGTTATTTTTAGGTTGCTGTCATTTTAGCTGTAATGTTGCAGGGTGCAGAGTTAATCAACAAACAACAAATACGATATGAAGTTGCACCAGCCTTAATTTTTACCTAGGTCTCCGAAACACAACACCATACTCCTGACAAGCCTGACCAACGATAGGAGTGTACACGATGGGCATCATCTCTTCTGTATGTTCTGTTAACACACGGTAGAACAGGCGTTCATTACGATCCTGCAGGGCCGTCAGGTACACATAGCGGTCAAGGTCATTTGCTCGTTTGTAGAAGTTTGTCATGACTCTGACAACTTGTTCATCCTGCGTTCTGACTGCTGGCGGAATAAGTCCATGGATTCCCATCAACTGGCGTTCCTTCAGGGAAAACGATGTTCCCTAAGAAAACAAGACCTGCACTGTTAAAATTATGTGAATTCATTGAAGTTAATGCTGACATGAGAACCTTAAAAGGACCACCACCAATTTATTCATCAATTCTGTTTCACATAGCATCCTTTGAAATTAGGTTTTAAACAAAATTGAGGGACCTTCTTTCTTTTTTTTCATAGTATAAGCAATACAGGAAGCAAATGCAGACATTAAGTAAAATTTATAAAACCAAAACATGAAAAAGCCAGTGAAACCACGACATACACACACTTGTACTGATTACTAAACATGCTGTAAGGGAAATATCAGTACTTTAAACATTTGTTTGTTTGTTGTTTAACACTACACTCAGCAATATTCCAGCTTAAAGATGGCGATGTGCAAATAATTGAGTCTGGACCAGACAATCCAGTGATTCACATCATGAGCATCGATCTACACAATTGGGATACGATGACATGCATCAACCAAGAAGCACGTCTGACCATTTGATCCTGTTAGTCGCCTCTTATGACAAGCATGGGTTGCTGAAGACATATTCTAACCCAGATCTTCTTGGGTTCAATGGTCACATAGAACAAAAAATCCCTGAAAAGTTTGGTTGAACACTTGGAAACGTCTCCATACCTTGTTCAGTTTTGGGTTCCTAAGAATGTCCATCCCTCGGACCTTGGAGTGATTGATAAGGTACTTTGCTGGCCTTGTTGACACATGTGGTTTGTTTGCTTTCTTTTCGGTGCTCGTGTGTAAGCTTGAACTTGCTGGGATACATCTAAAACAAAATAAAAATAACTTAGGCCAGGCACGTTTATTTTCAGAAGCCAGTGACATTAAGTTTGCAAAAAATGTTTGATTAACATCGTTTATGCAAATGGGACACGATGACATGCATCAACCAAGTCAGTGAACCTGACCATCTGATTCCCGTTAGTCGCCTCTTATAACAAGCATAGCCGCCTTTTACTGCAAGCATGGGTTGTCATGTGTCATTAAACTGAACTTGTGGGCTACCATGTTTGAGTAAAGAACCTTGACAGAGTCATCACTGTATGAACGGGGCACTTTAGGCTGGAATATAACAGATTTTGGTATGGCTTTTTTCAGTCATTTGTCCTTCAATCTCATCGTTATCCATTCATTATTTGTTTAACTATACTATGTACTAGGGGTGTGCGATATAACCGGTATACCGGTAAATTGCAATACTGATGTTAACATATCGCAATCCAACCCTTGTTTCGATACTTTCCACTACAATCACAGAAGAACTAATATATAATCATATACTATTATGAGAGAACTTGGATGGACTATGTTCCTATCTAAACAGCCCATGCTTCACGCTGTTCACATTAACATTCCATATTTATGATGTAATTGGTAGTCTCATTTATCCATACTATCAAAATCCATACCGCAATCTGAAGTCTGGATTATTGAGAGAAGCAGACCGTTTGAAGGTCAAACTCTGAACAGTATAAATATTCATAATTTAGGTCCCAAAACACATTGCAATATGTATCATGATACAGCTCTCTGTATTGTGATAAATTGCAATTCAATTTATGTATCAATATGCCAACCCTACTATGTATAGGTGAGGTGAAATGGGGTTTAAGTTCGCATCCAAGATTATTGAACTTATATAGCGGCATGCATGCATGCACGTGTTTGTGTGTGTGGATGCTTGTACTAGTCCGGACTGATGCGGATTTATAGTGCTTGCTCACTGAGATACCATGCTGCAAATTAACATTAATACCCCACTCCGACACAGCATACTGACTCTGAGCTGACCAGTCCTTGTTTTAGCCTCTTAATGCAGGGAAACAACAAGTACCATCTTTTAACGGCTTTTGGTATGCCGCAGCCGGGGATTGAACCCCAGACCTTCCGCTCTCCAGGCGGACGCACAACCACTAGACCACGGAGGCGGTTACCATGTACAGACTTAAGGGCTGAAACTGAAACCTTAGAACATCGAGCACTATATATTCATGCAATAAAAACACTGCTTTGATAAAAATGATTGGGAAACAGAAACCAAATCATCATGTATAAAATATTCTATCCCCAACAAGGAAAGTGATATCAGTGGCATGAATGTACTGCTTGCTGGGAGTGGGAATCAGTGTTGACTTAACTGCTGGTCTTTTAGCCTATGGCAAAAGAAATATCAGGGGGCATGCTGGTACTAAAGGTCAGATGCCAGGTGGGCCAGTAGACAGTCTGTACTGATGTTGTACTGTTTATAATATTACAAGGGTTCACTGAATAAGTCCTGAGCCTCAGATTGAAGGAATTGTGTGAGAGTGAAATTGTTTTTTGTCAACATTACATGATGCCACTGAGGTATATCCACAAAAACTTCAATTCAGCATATTGTTTGTCAGGAAAATAAGCAGGGGTCTGTGATCTTTGGAAAGTTGACAAACTTGAGGAATCTGCAGTGATCAAGTACTTGAAGAAAAAGGATTTAACACCAAAAGCCATACATGAAGATAAGTTCACTCGTTTGTTGTTTAACGCCGCACTCAGCAATATACCAGCTATATGACGGCACTCTGTAAATAATCGAGTCTGGATCAGACAATCCAGTATGTGACATCCATACAATATGGATATGATGACATGCATCAACCAAGTCAGTGAGTCTGACCACCCGATCCCTTTAGTCACCTCTTACAACAAGCAGAGTTGCCCTTTACGACAAGCATGGGTTGCTGAAGACCTATTCTAATCCAGATCTTCACGGGTCATATGAAGGTATGGGTACACCACTAGGAAAGGTGCTCCTTCTTGTAACACTGTAAATAGGTAGGCAGCACAGTCAACCATGTTTAAGCGTGGCAGGTAGAGCCTTTAATACAACCACCGTCCTGGAAAATCTGTCCCATCAGCAACAGAAATGTCCAGAGAATTCATGACCGACCGCGAATGACTACGCGTCATATTGCTAGTTCAGTAGGCATTTCACAAGAGAGCATTGTTCGAAGTAAGTGCCTTCCATAGGCCTGTGGCAGGTAAAGCTTGAGGTGAGCCCGTTGTTTCAAATTTGTATTGGTCCTTAAGGCCTGCATTAAATTTATGCGTCAATATATTTCTCACAATAAGCTACAGTTTCTTCAATGAGGACCTGAAGAGTTTAGTCAGGGCCTACAGCTTCTATAGTCTGTGTGTCCTGATGACAGCATGGCAATTTTTTTTGTCAAACACTGGGAGAGAGTAAACTAAACATATCTTATTATCACAGATACTTTCCCAATAAAGAAAGTATGAGCTCCTTGGGTTCCAAAGCTTCTGACATCTGATCAAATTGGCACCAGGGTGCCGTTGTACAAAGGTATCTTAGCTCCAAGATGATTGTAACTCCCATAATTTAACATAGGCTTACGATCATCGTAGCAAGAAGGTTGTTTTGTACAACGGCACCCTGGACAACATGTCTCATGATAATCTAGCTCTGTTTGAAGCTGATCCTTAAAAGACTCTTGCAACGATTAGTGATTAAGGATGAAACATGGGTTCACCACTTCCAGCCAGAGCCCAAACAACAATCATAACAGTGGAAGCATTTGACATAACCACCACCAAAGAAGGCAAAGACTGTCCCATCAGCTGGAAAAGTCATGACCTCCGTGTTCTTATGGTGTCATTATGGTGGATTATCTTCCAAAAGGCCAGATAATAAACGGAGCATATTATGCTGCTCTTTTGAGGCAATTATGGGATGAAATTAAGACTTAGAGACGTGGGAAACTGAGAAAAGATGTGCTCTTCCATCAGGACAATGCGCCCGTGCACAAATCAGTCACTGCCATGGCTACACCACGAGTGTGGTTTTGAACTCCTTCGGCACCCTCCTTGATCTCCTGATCTGGCTCCAGCAGACTCTCATGTGTTCCCAAACATGAATGATGAAGAAAGCTTCAGCGGGAACCCAATTCAAATCCCCTGATGATGTCATAGCAACTGTGGAGCTTTTTGGACAGCCAAGAGAAGGACTTGGAGAAGAGAAGAAAACTTGGACTAAATCCATGATATCTCTCCAACATCGTTGGAAACAGTGTAAGAAAGTTGTTGAACGATAAATCATTTTTATGTCATTAGGGTAAATGTTTCTATGTGAGACTCAGAACATATCAATCACTCCTTGTGTTGGGCTAGTGAGATTCTGTGAATTTTGGAGGGCCTATTCTTTTCATCAATAGCTGGCCCTCTACTTGTCAGTAGGAATGATATGTGGAAAAACATACAACATAATATGTTCAAAGAGACGTTTCAATTTTGGTTCTGTTTCAAAACTGTTTCTGTTGCTATGTGTGTGTTTGTTTGTTAAGCTGATCACATCAGTCTTCTTGTTTAACATATTGTGGTATGCACAATGTTTTTGTGGTTTGTTAAAATTCAGTTGAATAATAAATATGTTTCTTTTCAAAGTTAATATCTTTCCACCTTTCTATTGTGTAGGGCTGTCAGATCAGGGCTGTCATATTTAAAAAAAAAGATATTGCCTTAAGCATGTATTAAGCAATGTTCAGGAATGTGAACACATCTATTTGGTCTGCATAACATTTAGATAAGCTGACCAGTGAACCATAGACTGATCAAAATAACTGACTTAAGGCTAAATAATGTAAATTTATGAAATTAATGTGTCACAAAAATAATGCGAGCAAAAGCACCAACACTAAAATGTGTCACTTAATTAATGCGAGGCACCCTCATTGTATAACCATATAGATATACTACTGTAACTACGACAGTGAGAAAATGGAAATAGTTTTTCATGTTTTGGGATATATTCGTAAATATGGCGTATATTCATTAAAGGTGTAGGCTCGTAATAACTGAAACAGATAAACGGACTGTAAGATGTGAGGATGTGACAGAGGTACTTGGCTGGCCATAAAGGACCCTGGGTAGGAGTGTGATTGGCTTCATGTGACGGAGGTATATTTATACTGTAATCTAGGCTTTGCTTAGCACTGGCTTCTAATCTAATCAAGCTGTCAATTAGTATCTTGTAACTCAGCCGTAAGAAAACACACAAGCTTTCTCTTCAATTTGCCTCTATTGGCGAGTGATGTCACACTTGGAAATTATTTCATGTATGATTTAAAAACACACAGAACCGTTGACGTACTGTCTGTTTAAGATGAAGTGGCCAAGAAACTGTCTTGCATGTGTAAGCGTGACAAAATCAAAGTTGTTGACATCTGACAGTGAGCAGAATTCACAAAACGTCCCCGCTTAGTGCTTGTAGTGTTATAGGTATTTGTATGTTATGTCATTCATACATTGATTGAATAAATACTCATGTATGAATGCTGTTTTGTTTAATTACAAGTGTTTTGGGCATCAAGAAATAAGTAATCACAAACAGAGTTTAGCGAACTTGACAGGCAAAGTGCATAGTATAAATGTGGCATTATTTTTATGCGAGCTACTGAAGGTTGCATTTTTTGCATTGATTTCCTGCTCATATTAATTTAATGATTTACAGTGATTACATCAGATTGGTGGTGTCACTGGAGATACTGCCTATTGATTTGTGAAAAGTTGACACTGATGGTCAAACTAATTCTGGGTACAAAGTTTAAAGATAAACATATTTGTACAATGAAATTGGAAATTACTTAATTCTGACTGGTCAGTCAGAGGTAATCAGATCACAGACTAGACTTCGATCTCAATAACAGAGCGACCTGACTTGAATGGAAGAGTCCATCAATGTAAATGCATAGGGGCGATAGGTGATCTGAACAATCTTCTAACCGATGCTATTGTATATGAAAACACTGAGATGGAGATTAGAGAACTAGAACACCTTGTCAAGTGAAACCAAATTGATGGGACAAAGCTATTTCAAGATTAACATATGGGACTTAACTATAAACCGATGCTAATCTGTAAAAAAAAACTTTCAGCAGTTGAGATGGAGATGTTTATTTTACAAGAATACCTGATGAAGGTATATAAAGTGATGATTATTTCATTCCGATACATTGCATAATGGCTTTATGTATTGTATGTAAGGTGCAGCCATCTACTTTTCTCGACGCCGGGCCCAGACAAACAGAACTTCTCGCAGGCGCCAACTAGTCAGTGTATGGATCAAACATCAGCACGAATAATGACATAGACACATGATAGAGGGCTGGCATAGATGTCTCAATACAGGGTAGGAAGAGATTGTAATTTTACATGTTGTGCCTTTTCTCAAAAAGGAATCAGACCATGTGCCCCCAAAGTCCATCTGCTTACTGATGGGCAACTGGAGTGAAGACAAACGAAGAAGACTGAATGAACTGGACACAAATCGTAAGAAATCACAATGAACATGGGTGCTTGAAAACGTAAGATGCTTAGAAACCTAAACAAAAGTATGATTCATTAATTGGAAGCAAAAATAACCTTATAAAGATGTACTTAGAAATACTGAATAGGGTACAGCTTTTCTTTTTATTGGGGGTACAAATTTTCCAGGGATACAATTTTTCTAGGGGTATGACTTTTTCTGAAATTACTGCAATCCCTGCATACATAGGAACAGGTGGTCATGGAGTATTAGGTTGGTTGTTGGTTTGTTGTTTAACGCCGCACTCAGCAATATTCCAGCTATATGATGGCGGTCTGTAAATAATAGAGTCTGGACCAGACGATCTAGTGATTAATCTCACGAGCATCGATCCACGCAATTGGGATCGATGACATGCATCAACCAAGTCAGCGAGCCTGACCACCCGATCCCGTTAGTCGCTTCCTACGACAAGCACAGTCGCCTTTTACGGCCAGCATGGGTTGCTGAAGACCTATTCTATATGGAGTATTAATTTCGAGTAGACTGCAGTATTTGGGTCCCCACTTCGGAACTTAATTTCTGTGACATGGCTGAGGGTTGCTGTGCCCCAGTAGTCTGTTCTGAATATCAACAGGTCAGTTTCTCTGGTGTAGACTCAAATAATCACTGGCAAGGAAGTTGGAAGATTACTGACTGTGATCCAAACGCCAGTCACCCCCTCTCAGTGACACCCAAGTAATAAATTGCTTTGACCTTTAACATTTCAACATCTAGTGAAAGAAATTGTTTCTCTGATCTCAGGTGAGCACTGCCTTACTTTTAAGCCAATCACACATACGGGTGAACACGCATACCCTAGACTAACATTCAGTCTCTGAAATCTTATATTACACAATATCCTTCTTGACTCTAAAAATAATTTAAAAAATCCCTATGCTGATTTCTTGAGCTGGCTAGACTTGCTTTTGTATGCATTTTTAGATATTATTTTTTCATAAAATAAATATATTCCACGGTCATGGTGCAGGACTACGCATACCCATATGCTGGGGTTTACCTGAGCTTATTTGGGTCGGGGCTACTGTAGTCTTAACTATCAATATCGAGATTTGAGTACGAGGCCTCAGCATCTACGCACATTCAATAAACACAAGGCAAGCTCTTGCAAGATGTGTACGATCGATATGAAAATCAAAAATAATACCAGGGCTCAAATCGCTACTGCAGTGAACAAATCACGGAATAGTATAATTTAACGCTAGAAACTTTAACTGTAACCTTCACTTGCAAATGCACATAGGCTGTTCGAGGATCAGCTGAGAGAATGACATTGAGAGGGTAATGGGGTCAATAATGTCAAGGCGAGACAATGACGTTCTGTTTAACTACGCATATAACACACAATATCTACTTACTTTTGTACCACTGATGGTGCCACCTTTTTGGCAACTCGAAGCGAAAGATTCACTGCCATTTCGGTAGATTAGCCGAAAATCTTGGCGTTACCGGCGAAATGTACGGCTGCTATGGTGTCAGAGCCATCTAACGGTAGCAAGTGCTTGAAGGGCAGATAACTTTGGGAAGCGCATTTACTGGTAAAATCATAAAATAATTTAACAAGAGAAAATAAAGTCAGATTATTCATATATGACAAATGACATTTTTTATTTTGTTTCGATTCAGTCAATAAGTATGGTTAATGCAAAACTAAGACACATACAGATGGGATACGTTTAAAAAAGATTGCCGACTTTGCAAAAAGAAAGCCACGTTTACTCAACGCGAAACACTGGGTCAACACCCCGAAGTATCGCCCTACTTTCTATCCTTGAATACGAGATATAGAGTTTCTATTGACTCATTCTCGTTAACAAAGAGAGCAACACCATTATAAAGTTCAAGGCTGGGTACGACAGGTGAACCAATGTCACTGAGGTCACTATAGGGAATTGTAATGTGGGTTAAATACGTGTACGTTGAAAGGCAGTCAGCACAGCCAAGTCAGAATAGAGAGTGAGTGAGTGAGTTGGGTTTAACGCCGCTTTTAACAATATTCCAGTTATATCACGGCGTGTCAGCTTAATGTGGGAGGAAATCCCGAAGTGATGCAGGTCTCAGACGTTTACCACTTCGGTGAAACACACAAGCACGGGTATGGTGCTGACAAACCTAGAAACATAATCGGGGCGAACCGGAATTCGAACCCACAATCATAGGTTTCTGGCGTGCCCAAGGGACGCAAATCTGCACGGCGAAAGGCGGCGCCTTAGATGACGGGTCCACCCGTGGCCCCTACCACTATGGGACCATCATTTGTCCGGTGCCACCCGTACCCCCCTCAGAATTGAATAAAGCTACAGAATGGTAACTTCGATATGGCCCCGCCAACTTACTGTTCAAATATCATGCATTTGTCAATTTAATGAAGTATTACCCTCTGTGAAATCAAGTTATAGAATGGTAACTTAGATATTCTCTATACCATGACCACGCCGCGGTACTATTCAAATGTCGCTATGCACTTTTCAGTTTATAACAGTTTTGCCCTCTTATGAAATTCGGATTTTGCCTCTTGTAGTAGAGACAAAAATCAGTTGTCTGATTAAAAACTCTTAACAAACTCGAGTCGGTACTGTTCTAGTACATCCTCGAAACATAGGTGTTTATGAAACGCAGAAAAAAAACCACTAAAATATTCGTTGAATCTATTCAAGTTTGTTCGTGTTTTACCAGAACCACCTCTACAAAGTGAATTTGTTATAAAATGTGACTTAACAGTCTAAGAGTGAGTGAGTTGGGTTTAATGCCGGTTTGAACAGTATTGCAGTCGTATCACGACGTGTCTGCTTAATGCGGGAGGAAAGCTTGAAGTGACCAGGTCTCAGACGTGTTCTACTTTAGAGAAACCCACGAGCATGGGTATGTGTTTACAAAACTGGAAACATAATCGGGGCAAACCGGGATTCGAGCCCCAAACCATAGGTTTCCGGCATGCCCAAGGGACGCAACTCTGCACAGCGTATTGCGGCGCCTTAGACAACTAGGTGGACCGTTACCCCTAAGAGCCAACAAACACACGCGCACGAACGCACGTACGCACATTCGAGTTCAAATATGACGGCGGTGTGTAAATATTCGGGTCCCGATCAGACAATTCAGTGATTGACATCACGAGCATCGATCCAAGCAATTGGGATACGATGACATGCTTCAACCAAGTCAGCGAGCCTGACACCCGATCCCGTTAGTCGCCTCTCACGACAAGCATAGTGGTCTTTTACGGCAAGCATGGGTTGCTGAAGACCTATTCTACCCCGGATCTTCACGGGTACATAGACAATAAGAGACATCTCTCTGTGTGGTAGTTTTCAACATTCATGTTTCTGTTTAAAAAGTCGCAAGCAACTTGGGCGTGGACTCTCTCCTGACCAGACTCAAGAACCGGTTTCAGGTGACCACAGTGATGTCCGTGCCATAGTCCATGAGGTCGCCAAGTGATGACAAGCTTCTTTGCCCGAGCACCTCTGCTATTTCAGTTGTATACCGAATATATATTTCACTAAATGCTTCGCGACAAGTAGTGGAGACACAGCACAGTTTATTCAGGACACCCAGTAAAAACCGGAGACTTTATTAATTTTTTTCGGAAGATTGTTCCAATTACTATTTGTGGGTAAAATCCCAGAATACCAAATGGTCGGCCTCTACCCAGTGATGTTATATTCGTCATGAAGATATCCTCTGAAAAAAATTGTTTGTTTGTTTGTTGTTTAACGCCGCACTCAGCAATATTCCAGCTATATGACGGCGGTCTGTAAATAATCGAGTCTGGACCAGACATCCAGTGATTGACATCATGAACATCGATCCGCGCAACTGGGATCGATGATATGCATCAACCAAGGCAACGAGCCTGACCACCCAATCCCGTTAGTCGCCTTTTACGACGAGCATAGTCGCCTTTTACGGCAAGCATGGGTTGCTGAAGACCTATTCTACCCCGGAATCTTCACGGGTCTCCACTGAAAAAGATACTCCTCTTCTCATCAGAGCACGTGGTGGAGCCTGGCGAGGGTCAGGGAAACTCGGCTCCAGATTCTCAAGAAATCGCCCTCAGGCGGCATCAGTGAGTAAGGCAGGGCAATCCTTTTAGTATTTCAACAAGGTTAAGAAACGTCCTACTTTTACCTTTTAATGGAGCGAAATAAAAAAAAATATCGAAATCCCGGATACTAGGGTGGCGTTGTACAAAGCGACCTAAGCGCCAAGGTGATCGTAGCTCCCATACCTTAACATAGACTTACGACAGTCGTAGCGCTGAGGTTGTTTTGCACAACGGAACCCTGTGCCCAAAACTTGTTGCATCCTGCCCATCAACATGGATATCTCTAGGCGTTAATGGTCGAAATTATACGACAGAAACGAAACACGATTCCAAGAGCAATTCAGTCGTTGGTTCCCAGAGCACATTGTCTGAAGTAGTGTTTCCTGTGTGTAGGTGGAGACGAAGACACCCTACAGAGAGAAGCTGCGGAAGAGAGTGCAGAGATTCATCTTCCGGTTCTTCATTTGTCGAAGAACATCACAGTCCTAGACACAGTCAGTGTCAGTGTCACGCCACGCAGACCGTGCTCGTGTCACATGTCCTGTGTGTAAAACGTGGACTTGGTTTATATTGTAGCTACATATTGTGTGTATTACATGGACTTGCCTTATATTGTAACTACATATTGTGTATATTACATGGACTTGCCTTATATTGTAGTTACATATTGTGTATATTACATGGACTTGCCTTATATTGTAACTACATATTGTGTATATTACATGGACTTGCCTTATATTGTGACTACATATTGTGTATATTACATGGACTTGCCTTATATTGTAACTACATTATGTGTATATTACATGGACTTGCCTTATATTGTAGCTACATATTGTGTATATTACATGGACTTGCCTTATATTGTAGTTACATATTGTGTTTATTACATGGACTTGCCTTATATTGTAGCTACATATTGTGTATATTACATGGACTTGCCTTATATTGTAACTACATATTGTGTATATTACATGGACTTGCCTTATATTGTAACTACATACTGTGTATATTACATGGATTTGCCTTATATTGTAGTTACATATTGTGTATATTACATGGACTTGCCTTATATTGTAACTACATTATGTGTATATTACATGGATTTGCCTTATATTGTAGTTACATATTGTGTATATTACATGGACTAGCCTTATATTGTAGCTACATATTGTGTATATTACATGGATTTGCCTTATATTGTAGCTACGTATTGTGTATATTACATGGATTTGCCTTATATTGTAGTTACATATTGTGTATATTACATGGACTTGCCTTATATTGTAGCTACATATTGTGTATATTACATGGACCTGCCTTATATTGTAGTTACATATTGTGTATATTACATGGACCTGCCTTATATTGTAGTTACATATTGTGTATATTACATGGACCTGCCTTATATTGTAGCTACATATTGTGTATATTACATGGACTTGCCTTATATTGGAGCTACATATTTTGTATATTACAAGGATGTGTCTTATCATATAACCCACATCCGGTGTATATTAAACGGGCATCTCTTAAGCCCCCGTTACACTATCAAAAACTTTGATCAAAAACTTGGTCAAAGTCCATTTTGACCAAGTTTATGATAGTGTAACATGCCGTCAAAAACTTTGACAAAGTTGGCGACCATTCTACAGATAGATGATGTGTTAACACGCAGTGTATCGTTTGAAAATATCTACATCGATAACGAACCCTCAATTGCACTTCACATTTAATAGTGAAAAGCTTTTGACGAGGTGTCTATTTACTCTGCAAAAAAAACCCCGCAAAAGTGATTTTTGATGTATATTTGATATATCATTTAAATAATCCACAGATGGTAATCGATTGTCATTGACCCAGGTTCCGTAAGGCACACATGGAACAGTGTAGATTATCAAGGGGAAAGGTAATCTGTTTCAGTATCTTGTATGGCCACTATTAGAGTCCAAAACTGACTGGCATCGTTGTCCCATGGAAGGAATGAGATCCCGAATTGTGGCTTTGGGAATATTCACCCAATCTGCCTGCAGTGTTTGTACCAGCTGTCGGAGGTTCTGTGGTTGTTGCTGACGTGTTCGCAGTCGTTGATCCAGTGCATCCCATAAACGTTCGATTGGATTCAAATCTGGAGACCTGTAGGGCCATGGCAGGACCTGGATGTTGTGAAAAGGGTGATGTCAGTCTTGCCGTTGTTTTGTTGGAAAATGGCATTCGCTTGGCCGATGACGTTGTTGCATTCCGTCAGTCGTGGCATATTTAAAGGGGAAGTGTACACGCAAAAATCACTTTCTTTCTTTTTCTAAACAAAACGCAATTTTAGAATTAGTTAGTATCTGTGTTTGAAAATATACACTCATTTTTTTCACAGTGAAAGTAGGAAGCTCACAATAGTGTGAAAATGATATGCCGTTATGAGGCCTTCGTTTTTCGAGCTAAACTGGCCTGAGTTATCCCCCTTAGATTATGACGTAATTGGTGCCAATTCAACTGGGTCCCTGTCTATTCTGAACGCAAAAGATATCAAGTACAAGTTTGCGGTAAAAACAACATGGCCTACGACACACTCCGGCGCAGTGGTGACTCAGCATAACACTATGCTGGCTGGCATCTGAGACGCTAGAATCACACATCTGTACCTACAACACGTGAAGCGGCTCTAACAAAGCATGATGACGTCATAATGTTTATCAATTGGCACCAATGACGTCATATTGCAAGGGGCATAAGCCATGGTGTTTTTGTTATGGAAATAGAACACTTGGTAAATGTGAAAAATATAAATCGTTTTAATGCAAAACATATGTTAATTAATTGTGATATTTTTATATTTTTGTCTATGACACTTCTAGGTTAACACTTTTATTGTGGAAAAAGTACAAGAAAATTAGGTTCATTTCCGTGTGAACTTGCCCTTTAAGCTGTTCACTTGCTGTAAGATTGTGATGGCACGCAAATAAAACCCCAAAGTTTTCATATCCCTGGAAGTGATATTGCACGTGCAAGTCATGATGGTGTGTTCGGCCCCAGGCTCTCACGTGGATGTGGATCTTTTCACCAAATTTCTCCACACCTCACATTTTCTACAAAAATCTACCCCAATGCAGAATGACCATTTCATATTTGGTATTAATTTTGTCTGGATGTCGACAACACTGTCAGATATTTACGATTTTACTACCTTTGCGTCATATGTATTTTAATTGTGCTGCCTCATGCAGCAGTTAATCTTTGCTCCAAAATACACTCCAGGTCTGGGACAAGCGAGTTTGTATAAGGTTTGTTTGAACAGTTATACCACAGAGGGTCAGTTAAAATGGCAGGAAAGAACCATGTGATGCTGGTTATTGTTTTTTAAACACTGTCATCAGCTTTTGACACAGCGAGGGGAGGGGGAGGGGGAGGGGAAGGGGGAGGGGGAGGGGAAGGGGGAGGGGGAGGGGGAAGGGGGAGGGGTGTGTGTGTGTGTGTGTGTGTGTGTGTGTGTGTGTGTGGGCGCAACACAGGGGACACGGGTGGCCCAGTCGTCTAAGGCGCTGCGATTCGCTGTGCAGATTTGCCTCCCTTGGGCACGCCAGAAACCTATGATTATGGGTTCAAATCCCGGTTCGACCAGATTGTGTTTCTAGGTTTGTCAGCACCATAACCATGCTCATGTGTTTCACCGAAGTGGTAAACGTCTGAGACCTGCATCACTTCGGGCTTTCCTCCCACATTACGCTGACACGCGGTGATATAACTGGAATACTGTAAAAAAGCGGAGTTAAACTCAACTCACTCACACACTCTTTAGTGCTAGTCCACTGAGATACCATGCCACAATTTAACATAGATACCCCCAAAAGACACAGTATCCCGACTCAGAGCTGACCAATTCTTGTTTCATCCACATAATGGCGAGTGCCAGATAGGGTACTGCTAAGTACCATATTTTGGTATGATGCGGTGGGTGATAAAACCATCGTCCTCTGCTGTTTGAGCAGATGCTCTACAGGCTAGACCACGGAGGAACACAACTTTCAACAACAAATTGTTTTTGCTTTGAGAAATGGATCATCTGTGCCCACAGACACACATGAAAGTTGTTTGTTTGTTGTTTAACCCCGCTCTCAGCAATATTCCAGATATATGACAGCAGTGTGTAAATAAACAAGTCTGGACCAGACATTCCAGTGATTGACCTCATGACTATCTTATGCAATTGGGATAAGATGACATGGATCAACCAAGTCAGCGCGCCCGACCACGCGATCCCGTTAGTTGCCTTTTACTCGCCTTTTACGTCAAGCATGGCTTGCTGAGGACCTATTCTAACCAAGATCTTGACGGGTACCATAAACTGAAAATAATTATGTGAAATCACAAAGCTGATTTTAAAGTTATTAACATCCCCAAAAACGTTTACTTATTCATTCCAAAGCTACTTTAGTCTGAAGCAGTCCTGACAGACATCTGGTGAGCTGTACTAACACAAGATCTCAATGCCAAACAAAAACAATGGTTTTACAGAATTTACATGTAAATTTATTTTCACATGAATGTTGAATTACATAGGACATATGAACATTGATAAGGACTCAACCATCAGGAAGAGGGGTGTCTTTCTCCTGAATATCCAGATGTGGTCAATTTGTTCAGTCCTCGAATTCAGCAGGTGGTCAACAACTGTCTCTCCGTGGTGTGGAGGCATGTATCGGCGTTACCTTGGTTACATACACACAAACCATGATGCCCTTGCCATCAAGGGGAACAGAATAATGAAATGAAACCACTTGACATATTACTCAAAAGAAGTTAAGGACCACTCGATTCTTTCATATTACTGTAGTTAATCCGTGATGGCATGACAGTTTGTAGTATATATATATTGTCTCATATGAGTAACGGTTACTCTTAATGATCTAACTTATAACAGATTAACTATAGTGAATGAGTGACTTTGGTTTTACGCCGCTTTTAGCAATATTCCAGCAATATCACGGCAGGGGACACCAGAAATGGGCTTCACACATTGTACCATTGTTGGGATTCGAACCCGGGTCTTCGGCGTGACGAGCGAACGCTTTAACCAAAAGGCTACCCGACAGCCCCAGATTAATATGGGGCTGTATAGTAATATAGTAATATGACAGAAGTGGTCTTCACGTCTTTTGAGTGGTATATATTCATTAATACACTTTTCATAAATACAGATGTCAAAGATTAAATCAATGCTTCCCCTTAATCTTCATGCTTTTCTAAAGTGATGTTAAAATCAGAACAATCATTTGAATGAAATTGTGATATATGAAAGTTATGAGTATCACCAATTTAAACTTGTCTGTACATTAACAGTTGGCTATTCATATCCTAACAACACATGACCAATCATATTTGGAATATGTCTAGGTATTTAACTGAATAGAAACACGATGATTCAGGTTTTGGGAAAGTCCATGTGTGCTGCTATCATGGCACCGTCAGTCAGGTTCAACTGTTTCTGTAGAACCACTCAGGCACTCTAGTGTCAACAATTTGTTAATTTAGTCCTAAAATGTTGCTTCTTAAGATTCAGGATTTACTTTCACACCTCTTCGTATCTGACCCCATCCGATCAACCTGAAACCGAGAACACAGCTGTTGAACGAAAAAACATTAAGTGGTTTTAGGAAGCTTTCTATGACTAGGGTTTCTGAAGCAAACCCAGTTGACATAAAGTCAACCTCAAACTGTAAATATGTTTTGTTATTTGTTTAAGGTTGGTTGGTTGGTTGGTTTGTTGTTTAACACCGCACTCAGCAATACTCCAGCTATATGACGGCGGTCTGTAAATAATAAATGATTATTATCATGAGCATCGATCCACGCAATTGGGATCGATGACATGCATCAACCAAGTCAGCGAGTCTGACCACCCGATCCCGTTAGTCGCCTTTAACGACAAGCATGGGTTGCTGAAGACCAATTCTACCCCGGAATCTTCATGGGTCTATTTGTTTAAGGACTCAATTAGCAATATTCCAGCTATTTGACAGAGGCCTGTAAATAATCAGACAATCCAGTGACTTGTTTACAAGCAGCAATCCATGCTGTCAGACAACACTGTTTGTTGTTTAACGCCACACTCAGCAATATTCCAACTATATGATAAATAATTCAGTCTGGACCCGACAATCCAGTGATTGACATCATGAGCATCGATCCACGCAATTGGGATAGGATGATGAAGTGCATCAACCAAGTCAGGGAGCATGACAACCAAATTCCATTAGTCGCCTCTTATGACAAGCATAGCCACCTTTTACGGCAAGAAGGGGTTGCAAATCCTGACCAACCCATCTATTTAAACTGCATGACAAACAGGTTGCTGGGAACAAATTCTAATCCTGAGTCCCGACAGGAGGCAACCTGTGAACAGTTAGGTCACAGTAAACCAGTGGTTGATTTTATGAGCAGCAACCCACACCATTTGGGTATGTTGACACACACTCGACCAGGTCACCAAGTCTGACCACCCGATCCAGTTAGTAACCCCTTACAACCAGCAAATTCTGACCTGGAAATCCAACAGGGGTGCTTGCTGGTGAACCCCAACCCACCTATGCATCCCCACAACCACCATAGAACATATCCATGTATATGCAACTGGTCTACGTACCTCCAGTGTTTCTCAACTCTCCTACTCAGGGCAATTTTCTCTCCAATCTCAGTACACACAGGATTTGTGAGGCCGATCTTTGCCAAATCAGCCTTCACAGCCAACACACGACCTCCTGTTGACAGCGAGCCGATGTTCACCATCAAAATCTCATTCTTAGCCAGCCTCTGGACCTGTACAAATGATCAATGTAGTTATGTTAACTTCAAACAACTATCACATGCATTTGAATATGTTCCCCCATGTACGAATCCCCAAATTTGAATTAACCATTTTCCAATTCATGTGGTACTCATAAACACTGTATTCGACGTAATAAGCACCCAGGGCACTCTCAGAATTAGAAATAGGGGTCTCTTATTAGAATATAATTTTGGTGAGATAAAAAACAAAGTTGAAAGATCGTAAATTTGGTGGTTTATGTTGACAGCCTGAAATGATACAAAAGAAAAGTCTGTGTGTATTATACACGACAGATATATTTTCCAGAATTTGAATGCCCATAATTAAGGGTGCATATAACACGTGTGTGTACATTGATCACTCGGAAGGGGTGCTAATTGGGATGGTTCACTTGCCAATATATTAGCAAATATCGCCGTGGGCACTTATTACGTCGAATATGGTATTGTTCAGGTCTGTAGAAGGAAAACAGAGGAAGGGACTTCAAATATACTTCACTGCATTAAACACAACGTTAACATTCAATGTTAGAAGACATCTGAAATTAGAATTCAGTTGCAGGAATCTTTATCTTACGACAAGGATAGTCGCCTTTTACGGCAAGCATGGGTTTCCGAGACCTATTTTTCCCCAAATCTTCACAGGCAGATAAAACAGTTCCTATGATTGATTGGTGCATCACTACTGACCTTGGCTCCTTTCTTGTCTCCCTCGGTCTTGACCCCGAGAAGTCGTCGGAGGAGGAAGAAGGAGATCTCCAACTCTGTGTAGATGTCCGGCAGAGCGTCCACCGCTCCAAGCACCTGTCCAACCATACGGTCAGCTCGACACAAAGTGGGGTCAATCTTGGTACCAACACCTGCACAGGTGAAAATTTATTTGGATATTGATTGTAAACCATCCAAAGTGATTAGTCGTAGTAGTACCTTGGGTAAGATACTGGACAGCAATAAAGAACAAGATCTGTTTTGACATTAAACTATAAAACCCTAAAGTCTGAAACTAGTGTTGGTCATTGGTGTTATTTTCTTATGAAATTTGTGCGAAGATTAGTGTGATATATTGTGAATACCATTTTGATGCATACATGTTCATACAGTGCATGGGTAATTGTTCATACAGTGCATGGGTAATTGTTCACCAGGGCAAGGGAAATTGTTCACCAGGGCAAGGGTAATTGTTCACCAGGGCAAGGGTAATTGTTAACCATACAAAGGGTAATCATGGTAATTGTTCACCATGCAAAGGGTAACTGTTCACCAGTGCTAGGGTAATTGTTCACCAGTGCTAGGGTAATTGTTCACCAGCACAATGGTAATTGTTCACCAATGCCTAGGCCAATTGACGTGAATTACATTACAACAAGAATTCCACAGGCAATAACGATGTCAACCTATTGAAGATAATCAACAATTCTCCTAATTTTTAAGAACAAAACCTTTTTTTTTTAAATTTCAAGTACTTTTCAGGGCCCAAAAGAATTTCAACTAGTTTTTCAAGGCATGCATCAACACTGAAGAATATCCTATTCAGTCAACAATGTAGCAAATAGCACAAGATCAGTTTCCCAGTCCCAGGTTTTGTGTTCTCACCGATAAGCCCCCCAGGAACAGCATACTGCAAGTCATTCTGTTCAGCAAACAGAGAGACAATTCTGGACAGGATTGGCCGACAGGTCAGCTTGCCCTCCTGGTCACGTGACACAATGCCCGGCCGTACCTCGATCTCCTGACCAACCTGTGGACACAGACGTGACAAGTAATTAGCATGCTTATGGTGCTGTCCGACAAGATCGGACTGTGCCGTAACTCTAGAAACAATCTGGAGCAGATCTGGGACTCGAACCCAGCATGGTAGGTTTCTGGCATGCCTATAAAAGGAACCATAAAGATAATACAAGTCAATGTTTTCTTACCTTGAGAACACCTCGCAGGATACTTCCGCCGGCGACGCCCCCCTTGAGGTCATCAACCTCACATCCTGGCTTGTTCACATCAAAGGATCTGATAACTGGAAGGTAGAAAAGTTCAGTTTAACCTGGAATTGACAATATAACACGGTTGGTGACTGAACCAAATCTTAATCCTAAAGTATGTGAGTACAACTGACATTATCAAGCAGTTATGGTTGACTAAATTATTTTCAACACCTTCTAATGACATGAATTAGTTACAGTTCTTTTCAGCAGACAGACCCATCCATGAAGATCCTTGGTAGAATAGATCTTCAGGAACCCATGCTTGCCATAAAAAGCAACTATACTTCGTGTGGTCAGACTCACTGACTTGGTTGACGCATGTCATCTTATCCCAATTCTGTTGATCGATGCTCATGACGTCAATCATTGGATTGACTCGATTATTTACAGACACCGTCACATAGCTGGAATATTGCTGAGTGCGACGTTAAACAACAAACAATGGACAAAACTTTTCAAAATCAAACATGTCCAAATTACAATGCCATAACAAAAGAGCAACACAATTACACATTTCCTGAATTGATGTATGATGCATTGTTTGCTTGGATTCTAATAAACATTAAGCAAGCCTGAAAAAGTGACCCACTTAGCTGCATGTCATAAAAATCATAAGTTGCTGGGGACCTATTTTAACCTGGTATTCCACTAGGGTTGTATGATATGTGGTATTTGATCTACTTACAAATTTTCAAGAAATATTGAGCGGCTTATGAGTGATATTCTGAAACAATGACGAATGGCCGGAAATTGTTTCTATATCCCCAACAAAACTTTATTTGGGCGATGGATAAAACATTAAACATGTTAACCATTCTCCACAGCATATTAAATATTTTGTGAATACTTCTACCAGTTGCCATGGAAACTGACCTATCAGCCTTGGTTCTGATGTGAAGTCCCTGACTGGCACAGGGATGCTTTTGACAACATATTCACACACAACGTCGATATTGTACTTGAGCTGCGCCGAGACCGGGATGACAGGTGCCCCCTCAGCCACTGTGCCTGAAACACAAACATCCATGTAATGTACAAGTCTTAACAATGGGAGAGAATGTCTAATGCCACAGTCAGAATTATCATTGATTATTCAAGCAAAAATCAAGTGTGAAACAGGCAAACTAGTGACTAAAAGTATTATCAACAATCCATATCATCGTGGTATGATGACACACAATCAGAAAAGTCACTGAGCTCAACCTCCCAATTCTCATATCAGTCTTAAAGGTTCCTGGCTGGCCCAAGGGACACTTTGCAGTTTTGGAGTGACTTATATGCCTCTTTATGATATGACGACTATGAACACAATGCTATGCACCCTCTGAACTGCAAAAAAATCATTTAAAAAAAGAATAATATATATTAAAAAAAAAAATTAAAAAAAAAAAAAAAAAAAAGAATAAAAAAAAAAGATCATATGCCCGAGACGACTCGGCAACCGTTCTGACTTTGTCAGTGAGCTAAAAAGCGAGAGTGCACAGTTAAGTTTCACAATGGCAATAGATAGGGTAGTATGGAGCAGGCAGCATTACATACTAAAAACCCTACACAGGTACTAACACAGCTATAAACCTCAAAGCATAGTTCCAATTCAAAATCTTAGTCAGGGTGCAACAATGTTCACAATTAACTTTCAACATGTTCAACCAGATATGTTTCAGTCTGGAATCTTTAGACTGGAGTACAGCAGTGTTTTCACCTTTCACAAAAGCTAGGATCTGTTCATACTGCTCCTTGGCCTGTGTTTCTTTGACCAAGTCGATCTTGTTCTGGAGGATGAGGATGTGTTTCAGCTTCATGATCTCCACAGCTGCCAGATGCTCAGAGGTCTGGGGTTGAGGACAGGACTCGTTCCCAGCTGAAATGTTGACCCACATCAAACAGTAGCTCAACACACTGGTCAGAAGGTCATTATATATGCTCCAAATTTCCTATTGTATTGAAGGGACTAACGTGACCCTAATTTCATGAGTTAGCAGCTAGTCCCGCTTGAACAAGACAAAAATGTTGACTATGTTTACATTTTCTATCAGTTTTATTTAGTTCCAATTTGTAGCAACATAGAAGCATTGTGAACTGGTTCGGAGTAAGTATTCTATTACGCCGCTTTTAGCAATATTCCATCAATATCACGACGGGGGACACCAGAAATGGGCTTCACACTTTGTACCCATGTCAGGAATTGAACCAGGGTCTTTGGCGTGACATCCTGGCATCCCCATTGGGCACTTTTATGTTTTGTTCGTGTTTCAAGGAGGTTTAATGTTGCTGTGTTCAATACTGTAGCGACCTGATGTGAGCCCTTGTACTAGTCTGGACTAATGCCAGTTTTAGACAGCTATCTCACGAAGATGCCACGGATACAATAAATACTCCACTCAGACCCATTAAACTGACTCCTCCAACCAGTCCTTGTTTCATATCCTTAACGCCGAGCACCAGGCAGGGTAACAACAAGTGCCATTGTTTCACGTCTTTTTGGTATGACGTCGCCGGTGATCAAACCATTGACCTTTCATTCTCTATCTACTAGACTATGAAGGCTATCAAATACTCAGTAACCATGGTTACAGTATCTTCATAATGCGAAGAGGGCTCACCTATGAGAAGAAGTGCAGCATCCATAACAGCTGCTCCGTTCAACATGGTTGCCATAAGAATGTCGTGGCCTGGGCAATCAACAAAGGAAACATGCCTGCAAACAAATCACAACAGATAGCGATTATCTTACACAGCGTAACTGTCTTACACAATGCAATTATCCTATACAACGTAATTATCGTACACCACGCAATTATTTTACATCATGCAATCATCTCACAAAGAGTTTGTTTGTTATTTAACTCCGCACTCAGCAATATTCCAGCTGTATGACTGCGGTCTGTAAATAATCAGTTCTGGATCAGACAATCCAGTGATTGACATCATGAGCATTGATCCATGCAATTGGGCTACAATGACAAGGAACCAAGACAGCGAGTCTGACCATCCAATCCACTAAGTGACATCTTACCCCCAGGATAGGTTAAAGAGGACCCAGTCTGACCCAGTATCCCAACAGGGTTGACCTTAAAACATTAAATAATAACATGACACCAGATCTTTTACCAGGATAAATAAAACAAAGATAACCATGAAAGTATTGTTCACAAATCCTGCATGTTTTTTTCAGAGACACTTTATCAATTTTCGTGGCCTCACCTCAGTAGTCTGAATTTGCCGCTGCATCCGATTCTGTCACAGGGAAAGACATCTTGGGTAGCGCTACCGCATGACCTGTAACAGCCCGGTCTTGGACAAGACTCGTTATCACATTTGTAAATCTGGAACAAAGAAATTATGCAAGTTATTTTCTCACAACTTTAACAATGTCATTATGTTTTGGCATACCTGTATCAGCTTGATTTGAAGGATCAATACACCAGTGAGTGAGTATGGTTTTACGCCGCTTTTAGCAATATTCCATCAATATCACGGTGGTGAACACCAGAAATGGGCTTCACACATTGTACCCATGTCGGGAATCGAACCCGGGTCTTTCGGCGTGACGAGCGAATGCCTTAACCACTAGGCTACCCGACCACCCTCATAATACAACAGCTGCCTCTATATGATCTAAGATGATCATGGGGATCCATAAAAACCGGTGATTGATAGCATGAGCATCAATCTATGTGGTAAGGGTACAACAATGACAACAAGTGCAAAAGTGAACCTGGCTCACTAATACCCCCGATCCGCCTAGTGTCGATTAGTAGTTACAAATTAAATAGCTATGATAGGGTTAGGGTTGGAAAATTAATAAAAAAAATGGAAAATTAATAAAAACAATATTTTTCTGTTGACTGCACCCCTTCATATGACACAGATTTTATGTACTAAGTTTGAGATGAATCCACTGAATAGTTTAAGAGAAATCGCGTGGACAAAGTTTTTGGACGGACAGACGGACGGACGGGACCTTGGTATAACTATATACCCCCGACATTTTGTCGGGGGTATAATTAACCAGGTGACACGATCACCCATTACATCAACTTCACAGCAAATCTTTAGTGTCAAGGAATCCCAATTGGGGTTGGTTTTTGGTATGACATGGCCAGGAATGGAACCACTGATCTTCTGCTCTCTGGGCAGACGCTGCTCTATCTACTAGACATTGATAGCATGATTTGTTTGTTTGTTGTTTAACGCCGCATTCAGGAATATTCCAGCTATATGACGGCGGTCTGTAAATAATCGAGTCTGGACCAGACAATTCAGTGATTGACATCATGAACATGGATCCACGCAATTGGGATATGATGACATGCATCAACCATGTCAGAAAGTCTGACCACCCAATCCCGTTAGTCGCCTCTTACGACAAGTATAGTTGCCTCTTACGGCAAGCATGATTTGCGGAGACATATTCTCTGCCTGGATCTTCATGGGTCTTGATATCAAGAGAAACATTAAATCCTACATGAAACAAACACATGTGTTTAGTATTTACCTTTGCATTGGCATAACCCAGTTTGATTGTGATGTTTCTCTCCAATTCATTCTTAAATCTGACAGTCTGAAACACAAATAGCATGAATGTAACCATGACAACACAAATAGACAAAGAAAATAGTTCACAGTTCTTAGCACATACCTCAAGTCATAACCATGGTAACATAGGTAAACAAAATTAAAACCCAATACACAATATCCTTTTGGTGGTGGGGGTGGAGGGAGTTACAGGATAATCGACAACTTGATAATATCTGGGGTGTGGAAATATCAAAATTGTGAAGCAAGCAAAACAGTAAAAATTCACTTGCCCCGAGATAACATCTACTTGTCCGGTTTATTGAATCACAAAATCGGTCTCTTACTGACTGCATTTTTAGTTTAGGTGTTGGAGAGGATTGTACTCACAGAATTTTATATATGTTTTGGGGGTGGGTGGGGTGTGTCATTTTCTAAATTTAAGGGTCACATTTTTTTAGCACCCTATTTTCTTGTGTTGAGTGGACACTTTCCCCCTAAAATATACATCTCCGTAGAGGGGGGTGAGAGTGAGTTTTCATTGTCCAGTTTTCCCAAAGCAAAGACATTACTGTTAGCATGTAACACCAGAAATAGCAAGTGGCCACAAGAAGCTTCATTACCTGTACTCCAGATATGGCTTTCACCACTGTTGACTTTCCATGAGCCACATGGCCAATGGTGCCTGAAACACAGAAATAACTGTCAGTGCCGTGAGTCTACTAGTCTCTTGTTATTGTTTTCCATGGATTGTATTAGATTACTGTAGGATGGGTTTTCTGTTGTTTAACGCCGCACTCAGCAATATTCCAGCTATATGATGGCGGTCTGTAAATAATCGAGTCTGGACTAGACAATCCAGTGATTGATATCATGAGCATCGATCCACGCAATTGGGATCGATGTCATGCATCAACCAAGTCAGCGAGCCTGACCACCCGATCCCGTTAGTCGTGTTTTACGACAAGCATGAATTTACAAATCAGTTACAAAAGTGTTGAGGTTTCTTAATTCTCTGTATGAGTAAGTCAAGCATTCAAAGCATCACATCCAGCGTTAGAAATTGGCACTAGTCCTGTAGTCCTTGCCAAACTGCCCAATAGTTAAGGTATCATAAGGACCAGTAGAAATTTGCCCTTTTTAAGGGTTTTGCTATATGTTATCATCATAAGGACTAGTGGATGAAAACTGTTTGTTTCTAACGCTGACATCTAATTCTTCTCGAAAACAAACATCACTGAACATTGAAACACATGATGACTGATAAAATTCTATAACTTTTGACATCTTACCTATGTTAATAGTGGCTTGTCTACTGATGACATCTGGTGTCAGAGGTGTCAACCTTTTTACCTCCTGCAAAAAAATAACATGGCATATCATCAGTGATACGTGACTTTATTCTTTACACAACAGCTTCACCGTACTTATACAATAACATACTCCATTATGAAAACGTTTCAATACTTGGTTCAAGCATTCTGACTTGTGATTATTATTCATGTTAGTCCTTTTAGTAAACCATTAACATTTACAGTATTTTATTCAAATTGGAATAAATGAGTAAGTCAGTAAGGTATGGTATTAAAAAAATACAATGAAAACAATGCATTATTACACACACAAAAAAAACCCGACCAAATTAAGAACAGCTGCTTACATTCAAGTTACTCCTAAAATAAGCATGTCAACAGCTTCATTTCCATACGCCGGTATACAACAGTCTGATAAACAATTTTATTGATGTATTTGGACATGTCTTGGTTTTATCTAATGTCTAATGAGTGTTTAGCTCACATCGCCTCTTTACTCACAAGAGTTGTAAGATCTTGACGGGACAAGTGAGGCTGTCGGTTCACCGACTTCTCTTCTTCTTCGCCTGCCATGCTTTCTGATGCAAGTCTCTCATATACCACAATCCTCCCGGAACTTCCTGAATACAAGATACTATATTCAGTAAACTAATGAAGTAGATAAAAAATTCATAATGTAGATATACTTTAAATGATAATAAAATACTAAAACAAATTGATGATATTGAAATAAATAAGTATAAATAAGTATATTATGGTTTAGTTCAAGTATAGACAAAAGACAAAAGTCAGACACACATGATTTAGAACAAAGATGTTATTAGCCTTTATACAAATAGTACATAATCCAACCAATCGGAAATTAAGGCGATGATTTACTCCGGAGCAGCTTTTGACCTAGATTATGCACGCACACCTGATAGAAAGCGGCTCACATGAAAGAACCATTTCCTGATTGAGTAATGAATTAACGGTTAAATAACCGTTATATCTCTCCTGCGACAATGTTGTCATGAATTTGACAACGATGTCATCTCGTTTCAAGCCGTACATGATGCAATAACGCTGTCACGTTGTATATGTGGTGCCGTGAAGGATGATTCATGTTTATTTCAAGACAAAATATTGATCAAAAACCACATGTTGCACTGTGATCCAAATTTGTCTTATCACAACAATGTTACAGTCAACATGGATAGCTCTTGTGCTTGGGTTCTGGTCATCGTTGTACCTCTTGGATGCATTTCTTAAGGTATATATGTTTTCGGTATCATAATGACCACACAATACTAGGCGAGCCGCTGCAACCGTTATCTACCAGCTGCATAGTCAAGCATTATTTAGTTGTAATTAACGATTTCCAAGTGCCTTTGTTAATGAATGCCATAGTCATCTTTTCAAAACCACTATTCTATCAGACGGATTCAAGATATTAATTTTAATTAATTTAGTCTAAAGGACTTGATGTCTCTATGTGGAAATATTTGTGATTGGTTTAGGCCTCATATAATATATTTAATGACATTGTTCCACAGGAACTCGATATTGCTCTTTGTAAAAATATACGCCCCCTATACTACATAAAAGTCACAGGAACTCGATATTGCTCTTTGTAAAAATATACGCCCCCTTAGACTAACATCTAGTCTCTGAAATGAACATATCGTACATAAAAAAACAGTTGTTCAGTTATCTTCATAAAAATATAATAAATAGGAGCCCAGTGACTCTCTTCATTTTCAGATACTGATACTGCAGTGATCTAGACTTGCCAAACATTATAGACTTGCATGGGCTGTATTTGATATGTATTTGTATCAGGGTCTGTAAGACAGACTAATGCCCCCTATACTACATAAAAGTATTTTATGTAGTATAGAGGGCGTATATTTTTACAAAGAGCAATATCGAGTTCCTGTGCATTGTTATTAAGCATTTACAAATGGTAAACTAAACAATTTGTATTATGACCATCATTAATTCAACTGATGAAAGTAAGTTTTCTAGAATTGTTCATGTTGTATACAGTCTCCAGTTTGATAGCTGGTTGTAATACTGGATGAGTGTTGTCAGTTTTACCTTTCAAACTTTCTCCTGTAGTCATGTCAGATACGACTTCTGCTTTTGAATTTTCTCCCTGCGTAGACTGTTCCATGATGAATATCTCTTCAAATATGTCTTAAATTCTTTTCCTGTAACAAAATTCATTACTTTACTGGAATAAGGGTTTGAGTGTACTCTTTCCTGACATCAGTAAATGAATGATGACCAAGTTCTGTTTTTCTTTTTATAGCGAACCTGATGCAATATAACTGATGCAATGAAATGAAATTGGGTTTCTACTGCTATTGGTACAATTAGTTCCAGTAATAAGTCATTTAGTATGCCAAGCTTGTATAATGCCCCCTGGGTAGTCTAGCAGGGGTTTATCTGCCCGATATTAAGCTCCAAGTCTGCAGCAGCTGTCATTAAAAATTTCCAAAATCAGCTTTAAGAGTGAGTATGGTTTTATGCCGCTTTTAGCAGTATTCCAGCAATATCACAGCGTGGGACACCAGAAATGGGCTCCACAAATTGTACCCAAGTCGGGAATCGAACCCGGGTCCATTGCATGACGAGCAACCGCCTCAACCACTAGGCTAACCGACCGCCCCTAATATGATTATATATAAGGAAGTTGAGCTGTATTTTGCAAACATATTTGAATGTAAAAAAATGTAAGTACGTTTTTGGGAGCCATGTGTTACCGCGCGCTATAACCAAGTCAGTGGTTTATTGATGGGCACAGTAGGGAGGAAACACTGTACTTGGGGTTTGCGTTCCGTATCGTGGCATATCGATTAATGGGCCCACGTTTATCCGATATCGTATCGTGGGTCAAGCATCGCAATGAATCGGAATATCGGTGTAACGTTTCACCCATATTTTGCTTAAAGTGAAAGTTTTGTTCCTTAAATTAAAGTAATAAGATATTTTATAATGTGCAATTCCTCAGAATAGTGACAATGACATTTTTGTTTCAGACAAAGAAGTCCACTAGCCGATCATATCGTCAAGCGTTGGACAGCAGTGGTCTGACATTATCTATTTGTCAACTGAGATGGTATACAAACTCCTTGAACCGCCTGTTCCTCCGCGTGGGGCAGTGGAATCCGCCTCTGCTGCGTCTGTGGTTCACCGTGGGCGTGTTCTTCAGTCTAGTGGCAATGCTCATCTCCATCTTCGTCTTGACGTTGCTTGTCCTCAACACCCTCCGCAGACAGCCCGTGGAGCACCAGGTCCTCACGCCAGTGGTAGGTGCTGTGATGCTGTGTAGGATCCCGGGTTAGAATAGGTCCCCAGCAATCTATGCTGGTCGTTATAGGCAATTAAATGGATCGGGTGGTCATTCTCCGTGACTTGGTTGATTGCGTCTCATGGTACCAAGAAGGCGGGGACCCTGAAGATCCAGGGTAAATAGGTCTTCAGCAACCCACACTTGCCATAAAAGGCGACTATGCTTGTCCTAAGAGGCGACTAACGGGATCGGGTGGTCAGTGTCGCTGTCTTGGTTGATGCATGTCATCATATCCCAATTGCGTGGATCGATGCTCATGATGTCAATCACTGGATTGTCTGGTCCAGACTCAATTATTTACAGACCGCTGTCATATAGCTGAAATATTGCTGAGTGCAGCATTAAACAACAACCAACCAACAGGACATTAAAACTTAACTGATTCATCTATATCGCCATATACCAAGACATCTTCAACTGTGACAGATTTCATTAACGATACACATTGTCTGTGACATGCTGCTTGTGATATGCATTGGAGGGATATGTATTGATGTAAACAGGTTGCCACTTGTGCGTCTAGCAAGACAGTATTTTTTTGTATATAATGCACATTTCTTTCACAAAAATATTGATGTCTGGAGAGGGGTGCATATGCATGCAGAAAAATGAATTTTAATGTTTTTTTCACTCCTAACCCAATGATGGTTTGGTTTGTTTGTTTGTTTGTTTGTTTGTTTAACACACTCAGCAATATTCCAGCTAAATGACAGCGGTCTGTAAATAATTGAGTCTGGACCAATGACATCATGAGCATCGATCCACGAAATTTGGATACGATGACATGCATCAACCATGTAAATGAGCCTGACCACCCGATCCCGTTTGTCGACTTATAAGACAAGCATAGTCACCTTTTACAGCAAGCATGCGTTGCTGAAGACCTATTCTACCCCGGATCTTCACGGGAGTAACCTAATGATGTGGAAGGTGACACCTTTTTTTTATGCCGTCATCACCCTTGTATGTTGTTGGTTCGTGTTTTTTTAAATCTGATACATGGTTATCATGGTCAAAGGGAGATAACTCTAAAACATATAACTTTGTGAAATTGGGTGCAGATAGGCCTTTCTGTGGTCCAGGTTCACCCTAATTCCTTTCTACTACCATGACTACCACCACTACTGCAACTGCTACCACAACTACAGCTACTTCAACAGGATCGGTTGTCAGGCTCGATGACTTTGTTAATGCATGCCATTCTATCCCTATTGCATAGATCGATGCTCATGATGTTAATCACTAAATTGTCTGGTCCAAAGTTGATTATTTTCAGACAGCCCTGATATCGCTGAGTGGGTTGTTATATGACAAATTTTTATTATGTGTTAGTCAAAAGCTATAAGATTAATATTAGGAATATGATGAAGTATGTTTGTAAAGGTTGCAGTGACAGGAAGTCATTCATACCCAGTTCACTACTTCAGATGCCAGGTGTGAATCTGCCGACCAGTCAGATCTGGTATTATCTGCTCACACTGCTGGTGTGTGGCATCCTGCATGAGTTCGGACATGCTGTCGCCGCAGTCAGGTACGTCTATTTTCCTTCAACCCATCAGGTACACCTAGTCTCCTTCACGCTGTCAGAACCGCCTCCGTGGTCTAGTGGTAGAGCGTCCGCCCGGAGAGCGGAAGGTCCGGGGTGCGATCCCCGGCCGCGTCATACCAAAAGACGTTGAAAGATGGTACTTGTTGTTACCCTGTCTGGCGCTCGGCATTAAGGGGCTAAAACAAGGACTGGTCGGCTCGGAGTCAGTATACTGTGTCTGAGTGGGGTATTCATGTTAAACTGTGGCATGGTATCTCAGTGAGCTAGCTAATCGGCATCAGTCCGGACTAGTACGAGCAGCCACACGCACACACGTACATGCACGCTGCTATATAAGTGAAATAATCTTGGACGCGACGTTAAACCCCATTTCACCTCACGCTGTCTGTGTTGGATATAAATCATTGTTGATATCTCTGCTTGTCACCCTTGCTGTCCAACACAGGTTTGACCAGTGAATACATATGAAGGATTGTCCTTTACACATTACAGAGAACAAGTGAGAGTAAATGGGTTCGGCGTCTTCCTGTTTCTGATGTACCCAGGCGCGTATGTTGACCTCTCCACAGAACACCTCCAGGTTATCTCCCCTTTACGACAGCTGCGTGTCTACTGTGCCGGCGTCTGGCACAACTTCATCATCGTCATCGTAGCTCTGTTTGTGCTGATGCTCATGCCCCACACACTGATGCCATTCTACACCCTCGGCAAGGCGGTGGCCGTCACTAGTGTCATTCCGGTGGGTAGAACTGTAGCAGGGCGTGGAGTCATCCTACAGATGACATCCTTACCTTGTCAGCTTCCACAGCTCAAATCACTAGCATTTACTTCAAACATGGAGGCACCCAGTAACGACAATCTGATCGCATCAAATCTCTTGAACATGTTGAATAAAAACATAAAAAAGATTTAGAAAACATCTGTTGATGCCCAGTTGACGGTACACATGCTTTGCAGATCCTGCAATTGACCTAACTCTGCATGGCATGTGCCAAGTTGTTTATGAACCAGATGTTGATTCGTTACGTGATCTTGATTTAAATCTACATTAACCAAAATAGAACTCCAAATAAACTCCCAAAATAAAATCCAGCCTTGTTCGGGTAACCAGACTTGTTGTCAATTTACTCCCTTGACTCTGGAAGATGATGATAGGCATGAAGGCTGCATTTTGCACTAAACTGAGCTTTGTGATGGCCATTTTGAAATTTTCAAAAGATAAAGATTACTTTATTGTAGCTGATAATATAAAGAACATGGGACATGAAAATGACATTGTTAGGCTAAAAAAGAAATAATGGTCTTGGTTCTCAGGCACATAAAGTTCACCATATGTTTTGTTTTTATTTCCATTTAAAAACAACAACAAAACAATCCTTAAATATTCCAAGTCCAACGGTAGTCAAATATTGCATTCCAGTGATTTACTCATCAAGGAATACATTTATGTAAGGGGTCCCTTTCAGAGGTTGATTGTATTTTGTTACACAACTGTCCATTTGGTTAAATACTAGTTTGAACAACTAAGAAAAAATCAAAGACACCGCCCACCTGAACTTTATTTTCAAAAGCCATTGCCTGAGAACCAATTGGTACAGTATGATACAAATTTAACTGTTTGGAAATTTTGATCTTAACTGGTTGATCATCTGCAGTGTTCGAAATACCTGCCTGCCCGACCGTCCGGGCTGCCAGATTTTCAAATCCCCCTGCCCGATGGTCGGGTTATATTTCATATGTAAAAATATTCTAAATATTTCCCGATGATAAGCATTATTTACATGATGTATTCTAGGATATTAAATACAAATCTGACCTAAAAAGTGTTTGCAATTTCTTTTCTTGCATTACTTCATGTTCAATGAATTCGATTTAAAGTTTTAATTAAATTATCCTGAGAAACATATGATTATAGTGGGCAGGCAGGTTTTGGTCAGGGCTGGCAAGTATTGCAGCTAGCCAGTCCTGTGGTCTGGCTGAAAAATTTGGGAGTTTCAAACCCTGTCATCTGGTACTTTACAGACTGCTGTCATGTAGCTGGAATATTGCTGAATGCGGCATTATACAACAAACAAACATTTGGAACTGTACATTTTCAAGATACAGAAATTGGATATGCTGATGTGAATGCTTCACTCACTTGTCCTGAGAATTTAGAAACTTCAATAATGATTGGCTGATTGGAAAGTTTACCAACATGACCTCTAAAGGAAGGGTCATCATATCTTCGTCGAGTGAGTTGGAGTAAAAGATACTTTTTCTGAAAATGCATCATGTGATATGTTCCAGAATTCAGCAGTATCTGGACCCCGAGGTCTCCTGCCGGGCGAGCCAGTCACACGCATCAGTGACTGCATGGTGACTGACCTTGACACTTGGCATGACTGTATCGTGGCCAGCATGAAGCAACAGTCTCTCGGACACTGCATGCCTGTGCAGCTTATTCGGGATCTGGATACTTCACCTAAAAGTAGGTGTCTTTTAATATGTTCATAAATACTATGGTACTTGTACCCCTTGGATCTCTAACAAAAGCAGGCGGTCGGGTAGCCTAGTGGTTAAAGCGTTCGCTCGTCATGCCGAAGACCCGGGTTCGATTCCCGACATGGGTACAATGTGTGAAGCCTGTTTCTGGTTCCCCCGCCGTGATATTGCTGGAATATTGCTAAAAGCAGCGTAAAACCATACTCACTCACTCACTTACTCTAACAAAGGCCATGATTTTTTTAATGTTTCTCTTTAAAAGCTTATATTTTTGTTTCCTCTTTTTTTCTTACTCATTATCAACCATAGCGGCATAGTGAAGGCAAGGAAAGATAACTCAACCTTAACAATTCAGATAAATTGACTTTTAAGAGTTAGTATTGAAACCAGATTTTTACCGCACAATACAATAAAGTATTGAAACTACTAATTTCTCAGAGTTTGCATGAAATCTATTACTCTTATTTCTGTTATGTTAGTATAGTCAAAACTTTTATGGTTGTTTTACTGCGATCTAACATTTAAATCCCCATCTATCATCATCATAATAGGTTTCTGATCATGTGCAATGACATGCCATCAATATAGTTCTAGGAAAAGTGAAGTGTGCCACAAACTCCCGTAAAAATTATAAACCCCTGTTACTGATGAAGTAAGACAAGTTCTATGGATGAACAACTTCTTTATTACAATTAGTGCGACATTTCGGTGTAGATCCTATCAACCCCTATGAAGCAAGTGATGCTGAGATTGCCACGTCTCCATGTAGACGACGTATAACTTCTTTAAGTGGCATTTAGAAGTTGGTGTGATGAAGTAAGACATGTTCTATGGATGAACAACTTCTTTATTACAATTAGTGCAACGTTTCGGTGTAGATCCTAACACCTTTATCAAGCAACCCCTGTTACTGATGATTATTATAACTTACCTGGTTATGATGAACGTTGCAGATTACAGCCACACACCTGACTCGCTTGACTGCTGCAACGAGACAAGCAGTACACATCTATGTTTTTTATATCACACCAAGTCCAGGGCTGACACAGTGAGTACACTTTTGTAGAAGTGTAACGATATGATGGGGTGGCGATACGATACATATCTCTACACCATGGGTGCGATACAATTTGTATCCCTATATAGTTCTTTTATTTCATAAGGTGATAGTCTTTCTTTTTGCAGGTTAATCACAACCCTGAATCATAGGTGTTAAAATTTCAGACATCAAAATGGGTTATTTTAGGGCAGAAACATATAGCTAGAGGCCACTGTGAATGTTATGTTTTATTTATAGCCAAACGGGAAATACAAGGGAATTATGGTAAGCTGGTTGTAGATCGGTTTCTGTTATTATTCATGAGTTTTTACTCAAATTTTACTTGTAAGACTAAAACAATAAATAGTCTTGGTTCTCAGACATTGCCCTCATCATCATAAAGTTCACCGCACGTTACGTTTTTTTTCCCATTTTAATCACCAAAGACCCCTGACATGTTCATGCATGTCATTGTATCCTAATTGCATGGATTCATGCTTATGATATCAATCATGGGATTGTCTGGTACAGCCTCGATTATTTATTGATGGAACCATTCAGCAACCCGTTCTTACCGTAAAAGGCGACTATGCTTGTCATAAGAGACGACTAACTGGATCGGGTGGTCAGGCTCACTGACTTGGTTGATGCATGTCATCGTATTCCAATTACTTGGATTGATGCTCATGATGTCAATCACTGGATTGTCAATTATTTACAGACCAATTACTGAGTGCGGCGATAAACAAGAAACAAACAAACAAACAAACTCAATAATACATTTTTTTCAACATGTGTTCAAGGCAAGAAGTTCTGGAAGAGATCGCTTCTGGTCATTCCAGAATTTTAAAATAAATGTCACAATAGCCCATGTTGAATCAGTGTTGAATTAAACTTCTTATGTTCCAGTTGATTGAAGCTGAAGTGGTAGTGTATATTGTGGGCATTCCATTCATTGAGGGTATATTAGGCAATAAATGCTTTTAGTATGTGGATAAGGTATAAGCTCACCTGAACTGTGGATATTATTTGTTGGACAGAATGGTGTTTCTTTGTTGATTGACATTGGGACCGGCCATTTATTGTGAGGTGGGGTGGGTCGGAGGGAACCAGAGGAGGTCACCGAAAAATATGACAGTCTCTAGGGTGGATCGCAAAAAATTATGAACATATTTGGGAAGGGTCATTTTACGTTTTTTAAATAAAATTGCTTTTGCATTATGTCTTTTCAGGGAGGGTCATTGAAAAATGTACAGTGACATGGGGAGGGTCGTCTGAAACAGACGAGCATCGAGGGAGTGTCATTATTATCAGTACTTTGGTGCATCAAAAATGTCTGACCCACCCACCATAATGACCGGTCCCTTACATTCAGCAATATTTCAGCTATATAATGGCAGCAATTTATCCTTTTTTTCAAATTCATTTCGTCAACAAAAAGCATAGGTTACCATGGTTACTGGGGACAAATTCTATCGTGGAATCCCCATGGGGCTTCAGTTGCTCCAGTTGCCTTCGTCATCTAAGAACCCATGAAAATCTGGGTTAGAATACGTCTTCAGCAACCGTAAAAGGCAACTATGCTTGTCGTAAGAGGTGACTAACAGGTTTGGGTGGTCAGGCTCGCTGACTTGGTTGATGTATATCATCGTATCCCAATTGCGTGGATTGATGCTCATGATGTCAATCACTGGACTGCCTGGTCCAGACTTGATTATTCACAGTCTGCCATCATATGGCTGGAATATTGCAAACAATGCACATGATGAGAGTAGTGGCATTTAACATGTTTTTTGAAGTGCTAGTCTTTCTGAATAAGGCAGGTCAGGTACAAAGCAGTCTTTAACGGAATACTATTTTAACTCTTGTAACCATGATAACATAGCTTTGGCTTAAAGGCTAGTAGGGCATTTGAGAGATTGGTTTGTACAAGTCCAGGTGAGCTTTGTCTTTGGGGCCTCAATTTGTTCTTCTCTACTGTGTAATCCAACCATTTACAGGACATACAGAGAATATTATCCGGGTGTGTTTCTGTATCGCTTATGGTGCGCACAATATAGGGCTGGGACAGGTAACTCGGGTACCTGGGTCGGGTGGGTACTGAGTAGGACCCGGGTACCCACAGGACTACCCAGACCCGTGGTTAGTCCCGTGATATATTGTTTAATGACAAAAATTATCTAGAACCCTATGGTTACACGACAAGTCACTATTGTTCGCATTTCTTTCTGATTATGCACCCATTCCTTCTGACTTTTCATATGGTTGAATAAAGACATAACTTAAGTCAACTTCAGTGTATGCATGACCAGATCGTTTAATACATGTATCTAAATACATTTTGCAAGTGCTGTGGTAAAACAAAATTCCCAATCGGACATTTTGTATCTCTTGAGACCTACAGTATGGGTAGGGTCGGGTAATTGGGGGGGGGAGGGGTTACCTGGGTAGTAAATTTGGACTTGTCCCAGCCCTAGCGCAATACATAGTTTTTATTCTTAATGTATGATTTTTGCAGTACAGGGACACAAAAGGATAATAATCTCTTCATGTGATGATGTCACCCTTTAGATAATTTAAGTTTCAGTCATGTTCTTTAAAGCAAGTAGCTTTAGAAATGGCATGGCTATTCACTACCTGCTGAACTGCCCCATTTATTATACCCCCTACAAAATGTTGGGGGTATATACTTATACCAAGGTTCCGTCCGTCCGTCCGAAAACTTTGTCCACGCCTTTTCTCTTAAAATATTCAGTGGATTCATCTCAAACTTAGTACATATAATCTGTGTCATATGGAGGGGTGCAGTCAAAAGAAAAAAAATAGTTTTTATTAATTTTCCATTTTTTTAATGAATTTTTCAAACCCTAACGTCCGTCCGAAAGCTTTGTCTGGCGATTTCTCTTAAACTATTCAGTGGATTCATCTCAAACTTAGTACATATAATCTGTGTCATATGAAGGGGTGCAGTCAAAAGAAAAAATTGTTTTTATTAATTTTCCATTTTGTTATGAATTTTTCAAACCCTAACCCTATCCTCGCTATTTAATTTGAAACTACTGACACACTAGGCGGGTCGGGGGTATTAGTGAGCCACGCTCACTTTTTTTTTCTTGTTATAATGATTATGCAGTGCCCAATAATTTGCAGCCATGTTTGTATACAAAAGCACTCCCACATGGGGATAGTGCATCGATATATAGGGAGCTTAAGGCCAATTGACCTGTGAAGATCTGCGTAGAGAATAGGTCTTCAGCAACCCATGCTTGCCATAAGAGGTGACTTTGTTTGTCGTAAGAGGCGACCAACGGAATTGGGTGGTCAGTCTTGCTGACATGTTGATGCATGTCATTGTATCCCAATTGCATGGATTGATGCTTATGATATCAATCTTGGGATTGTCTGGTACAGACTCGATTATTTACAGACTGACGCCATATTGCTGGGATATGCTAAGTGCGGCGTTAAACAACAAACAAACTACTTTCAGTAAACTATACATTAATGGCATGCCGACTTGCTCAAGAATCTTTGCAAAATGATACGAAAACAGTTTAACACACTGGTACATTAATATCTTTTTATCAGCCTTTTCAGGTTATATACAAATGTTCCAAGTTTTTTTAAAGGGATTTTTGCACAGATAAGACTATCCAGTATATGTGTGATAAGATATAGCTTATTGTAGTTTAATTGGTTACATTTTCATTTTTTTTTCATCATAGTATTCAGGATCTAAAACCCTTGCAGACATGTTCCATGATGCTAGGGCAGTTGGGTAGCCTAGTGGTTAAAGTGTTTGCTTGTGACACTGAAGGCCAAGGTTTGATTCCCCACATGGGTACACTGTGAGAAGCCCGTTTCTGGTGTGGCCCACCTCGATATTGCTGGAATATTGGCATAAAGCCATATTCTCTCACTTTCACTCGAGGATTGTGTTTTAGCTCACCTGAGCAGAAAGTTTTGTGGCCCTATTTTGTCATGCGCTGTCATTTTTAACTCAGATAAAGGAAGGTCGGTGGTTCAATCCCCCGCCATGTCAAACCCAAAGACTTTAAAAGAAGGTGCTTGTTGTTACACTACCTGATGCTCAGCATTAGGGGGCTAAAACATTGGTTGGCTCGGAGTCAGTCATCTTCCTGAGGCAAGAGAGTTAACTGACTTTAAAAGTCCAGTTTCTACCCTTGCCGAACTAGGCTGGAATTCCTGGGCTCGATCGTAGCACCACCAGTGGTCATTACAAGTTATGACCCTTCTAAACCTCTCCTTTGGACCAATCAGATTCCACCTCTCCTATCACATGCATTTGCTTCAAACAAAACGGCAACGCCAAGTCAAGATGGATCTGCAATTTCGTTGCACGATTTTGATTGGACTATGCACAGACTTGTTAGCCTAGCCAAATTGGAATCCATAATACCAGCCTAAATCGGCAAGGGTGGAAACTGGACTTTTATAGTCAGTTTACTCTCTTGCTTCGGGAAGATGGGAGTCAGTATGCTGTGTCTGAGTGGGATATCCATGTTAAACTGCGGCATGGTATCTCAGTTGGCTAGCACTAGTCCGTACTAGTACACACACGCGCACATGCATGTACGACGCTATGAGTGAGAGACACCCAACCCCACTTCACCTCTTTGTTAACCTTTACATTTTTGTAATCTCTACAATCAATGATCCAAATTATTATGCTTCAGAAAATTCCTCACAGTATTAAGATCCGATTTTAAAAACATGACATTTGTTATCGTCAATACTTCACCAGTATGACAGTCCAGTATCCCTCCCTGGTGATGAGGAACGTAGTGTATACAAACCTGTGTCGTATTGACGTTGGTTATGCATGAAAACTGTGCGTTCTAGCTTCACGTGTTGCATGTACTGTTCCAGAAGTATGCCTGCCTCCCGGCTCGGACAACGACTGACCGACCCATCTGTCGACTGCAGAGCGACTGCTACACGCCCAAAGTGGAGATGGCCTGTGTATATCCCGCTGTCGACAATGAAACAAAACTTTTACGGATATATCATGGTCGGAGACCACCATTATTGTTTCTAGGGCATCCTGTAGATTTATTTTATTCAGGTGAGTTACATGGAAAGGGAATTTTAAGAGATGGAAACTATAATTTATGCAAATTCTATTCGAATTCTGTCTTTACACACAATGCCTTGACAGCTGTTAAATGAAGTGTGTTGATGTCATGCTTTCATGGACAGGTGCTCATGCTATAAACCACTGGCTCGCCAGGTTTGTGAAAAGCTGGGTTACTGTTGACTTTGGTGACCGCCTCTGTGGTCTAGTGGTAGAGCGTCCACCCGGAGAGCGGAAGGTCCGGGGTTCGATCCCCGGCCGCGTCATACCAAAAGACGTTAAAAGATGGTGCTTGTTGTTACCCTGTCTGGTGCTCGGCATTAAGGGGCTAAAACAAGGACTGGTCGGCTCGGAGTCAGTGGTGTATTCATGTTAAACTGCGGCATGGTATCTCAGTGAACTAGCACTATAAATCGGCATCAGTCCGGGCTAGAACAAGCAGCCCTGCACGTACATATGAATGCATGTTGCTATATAAGTGCAGTGATCATGGATACGACGTTAAATCCAATTTTCTTTTCGACCCGTAAAGATCTGGGGTAGAATAGGTCTTCAGCAACCCATGCTTGTCGTAAAAAGTGACAATGCTTGTCGCAAGAGGCGACTAACGAGATCGGGTGGTCAGGCTCACTGACTTGGATGATGCATGTCATCGTATCCCAATTGCATGGATTGATGTTCATGATGTCAATCTCTGTATTGTCTGGTCCAGATGTGATTATTTACAGATCACCGTCATATACCTGAAATATTACTAAGTGCTCATTAAACAACAACCAACCAACAGGACATTAAAACTTAACTGATACATCTATATCGCCATATACGAAGACATCTTCAACTGTGACAGATTTCATTAACGATACACATTGTCTGTGACATACTGCTTGTGATATGCATTTGAGGGATATGCGGCATTAAACAACAAACAAACAACACAAACGTGAACATTGTTATATTGTTTTTTATTAAGAACATTTTCTTTTCTTTTCAGTATCTGTGAGCAATTACGTTCCAAACAGTTCCATCATACCACTAAATCTTCCATATGTCATAGAAACGTTTTGCAAGTATCCTTTTACACCTAAATATGTCATAAATAATATAGATTTGAACTGTATTGATCTTAGTCATGACATTAGCATGTTCAGTTCACGGTATGTATTATTATTATGATGATGAATAGCCCATGGAAATTCCAGGTAAGAACAGGTCCCAAGCGACCTATGACCAAATGGTCAGACTTGGTGACCAGGGCCCTGTTCGTCAAAGCGATCTAAGCGCTAAGATGATCGGAACTCCCATACCTTAACATAGGCTTACGACAATCATAGCACTAAGATCGCTTTGTGGAATGGGCCACTGGTTGATTGCGTGTCTTCATGCCATGGCGGTGTGGATTGTTGCTCACAGTATTGATCACTGGATTGTCTGGCCCAGACTCAGTTATTTACAGTCCACCGTATAAAGCTGGAATATTGCCGAGTGCATCATTAAACAACAAACAAATGATGATAATCTGTGTGATATTTCAAGGATTTAGACAGGGTTTCTCGGGATCAATAGGCCCAGATATGCACTGCCCTGTGTTGCCTCCCATTAAAATGGGGAAACTGTGAAGATCCAGGTTAGAAAAGGTCTCCAACAACCCATGCTTGCCGTAAAAGGTGACTATGCTTGTCGTAATAAGCGACTAACGGGATCGGGTGGTCAGGCTCGCTGACTTGGTTGATGCATGTCATCGTATCCCATTCCTGTAGATCAAAGCTTGTGATGTCAATCACTGGATTGTCTGGTCCAGACTCGATTATTTACAGACCGCTGTTATATAGCTGGGATATTGCTGAGTGCGGTGTTAACAAACAAACAAACAAACAAACACTCACGCGAGATGATTATTCATTTCCAGGGTATCAGTGCTCTTCACAACAGCATCCTTGTGATAAATATCCTTAACTTGTGTCAGATATTTGATGTCTCTATCAGGGGCGCTGGTGATCCTGAACGTGGTGCCCTGCTACGCTCTGGACGGACAGTGGATATGTAAGGCGTTCATAGAACTCAGCCTTCGGTCGACCATCCCCGACAGCGATATACGGAGTTTAATATACAGCCTGTGTATACTGTATGGAACACTGCTGCTGCTGCTCAATGTTGTCGTGGCGATGTGGACGCTGTTCTTGTAGCATCAGTGCGGGATACAGTGACGTGTCCCTAGTGCCTTGAACGCTGCCTTGGATACACCTCCATCTCATCTCAACATCACCTGAACACCATCTCCACACCACATTGTAATCAACATTGCATCATCTTAACATCAGCTCAACATCACCTCTACACTGGGGGCACGGGTGGCCCAGTCGTCTAAGGCGCCGCGATTCGCTGTGCAGAGTTGCGTCCCTTGGGCACGCCAGAAACCTATGATTGTGGGTTCGAATTCCGGTTCGAACCGATCATGTTTCTAGGTTTGTCAGCACCAGACCCGTGCTCGTGGGTTTCACCGAAGTGGTAAATGTCTTAGACCTGCATCACTTCGGGCTTTCCTCCCACATTAAGCTGACCCGCCGTGATATAACTCGAATACTGTTAAAAGTGGTGTTAAACCTAACTCACTCACTCACTCACTCACTCACTCACTCACTCACTCACTCACTCACTCACTCACTCACTCACCTCTACACTACATTGTTATCAACATTGCATCATCTTAACATCAACTCAACATCACCGCTGCACTACATTGAAATAGACATTGCATCATCTTAACATCCACTCGACATCACCTCACTTCCACATCACCATAACATCCCCATTGCATCACTTTAACATCAACTCATTGACTCATCATCACCTTTGCCACCTGTCATCACCGTAACTCATCACCTGACAACTTGAAGCATATTCCATATTTTGGATGCGACAGGACCAGCATATCCAAATCATCGGATATGACAACATATGATTCAGTGGATATTTTGCATGCTGCAACAGGTCTTGTTCATTGTTTATATCGTAATTGACTAATTGATTTGATGTTGCGTTTTGAGACGTGGGATGGATACAGCTACTGATGTGTCATTGTTCTTTCCGTTGGCACGACAACAGGGGATACATCAGCAGAGGGCTTGTGTGCAGCAAGGAATAGATCAATCTCATTTAAATTAGACCTTAGTTCTCGCAACCGCTAAACAAAGATCTGAAGACATCCCATTAAGGGTCACGTCAGAACGAGCTTTCATCCGACCAATCAGTGCGTCGCTTACCAGATTATGAAAGTGACAGTCGGAATGTGGTTTCTAATCATGCAATCTCGAAAACTTTAACATGGGGTATTCAGAACGATAGTTACAGGTTTAACGACTGAATCCTTACAATCTAGATTATCGATTAGCCATTCCAGAATGTTTTTTTGTTCAGGTTTCAAATTTGTAATCAAGAATTTATCAAAATATGTTTCAAAGCGTAGTCGCCAATTTGAAATTTTTGCCGTAAAGCACGAGAAAGCTGCCATCTGATTGGTCATTCCATTGGTCGGTCAAAGTTCGCGCAAGGTCCGTCTGACGTGACCCGTAATGGGATGTCCTCAGATCTTTGTTTAGCGACAGCGAGAACTAAGATCTGATTTTAATGAGACTTGGAATAGATCGGATGGTTCTGAGGGATGTTTTTGACGTTTTGTCTCCCATTGAATGTTTTATTACATCCCATTCGGTTTCAGTTGTGGACCAGTACTTATTTCAGCCATTTCTGACATCTACTGTAAAGTGAAACCTTGTTAATCTGTACATGACCATTCCAGTGAAATTGCCGGATTTACACATTTCTGGATTAACGAATCATGGGTACAAAGTTAATGTTCCTTCGGTTAGATATAGACTTTAGGTCCCAGTAGATAGGTCCTCAGCAACTGCTTGTCGTAAGAGGCGACTAATTGGATCGGGTGGTCAGACTCATTGACTTGGTTAATTGCACGTCATTGTATCCCAATTACGTGGATCAATTCGTATGATATCAATCACTGGAATGTCTGGTCCAGAATCGATTATATACAAGTTGCTGTCATATTGCTGGAATATTGTTGAGTGCAGCATTATACAAACAAACAAGCATTTATATAGATGTCCATGTCAAGATTGTGAAGTTTCCGGATTAACAGTGTCCAGACTAACAAGGTGTTACTGTACCCAGACCATTGTATAAAAGTAAATATTTGTACAACTTGTAAAGCTGGCAATGTCAGTCTCCATTTTCCATCAATGCAAGCTCAAATTCTTATTGCAACCAAGAACATTTGCTCCAGATTGCATTCAGGGTGTCAGGATAGTCAGTCATGTGTGAGGGCAATTTAGTTGACTTCGGAGTTTCACACGTGCAAACAATGAATATCGTTAAATCAACACCTTGATATTTGTATGTGATGAAAACCCCCAAATATATGAATGTTTCGCCTTATGCAGACATTTTGACTGCCTCGCTAAGTAGTTTGTTGGTATGGCCTAGGTAGGATTTTGTTCTAATATAGTAACATGTACGTCATCTCTCAGAGTTAAGGAAGTTAACAGACTATAAAAGTCAAGTTTCCACCCTTGCCGAACTAGGTTTCTACTCAGGTACCCAACCCCCTATTACCAAACCCGACCTGGATATCCGATGTAGGTCTCAATTTCGTGGTTTGATCGTACTGCCACCAGTGGCTTTTATGAGTTATGTCCCTTCTATGTGCCTCCTATTGACCAATCAGGTTCTATATTTCTTGCATTTGCATCAAACAAAAGGACAACGCCCAGTCAAGATGATCTGATTGATAATCAAGATCTATATTGTTACCAAACGGATCTTACCTTACGAGGTGCATCATGTTAAAAGACTTGGAAAATATCTGTCCACGCCCAGTTGAAGGTATGCATACATTGAAATCTGTACAGAAGTTTACAGCAAGATGTTCATTTCATTACATGATTATGATTGGACTAAGCATAGACTCGTTAGTCCAGCCAAAACAGAACTCCGAAATTCCAACCCAGTTCAGCAAGGGTGGAAACTGGACTTCAAAAGTCAGTCAACTCCATTGTCTGGGGAAGATGTTTGTATCGTAGACGATGTTGGCAGAAAAGGGAGACTGATCTTGAAGCAAGACTGCCTGGTTTTCACACTGGAAAGGGGCTGAGTTAAAGTTAAACAAAAGTCAAATATATGTTTCAAAAATATGATTCAACAAAATTCATATGAGAAAAATGTACACATCACTTCATTTTGTGTTTGAGTGAAAATTTTCAAGATTCTTGTAATTGCTGCATCCACACTGGTGGCAGTGATGGTTCTGGGAGGGTAACGAACATGTCACTCGCAGAGATGGAGTTTGGATAACTTCTGTCAATCATGATAAGAGGCAGTTGATATTAAGGAATATCCAAAATATTGAATGAAAAACCAACAATGAAAATTCAGCCCATTTTGTTACCCCAAACTGTGTATAAATAACACAAACTACTGTTCCATTACATCTCACATGTGCAGGTTGCACAATGAACTGCAAACAATGTCATATAAGGTGTGCTCTTGTTGTGAGAGTATCCCACGACACCTCTTAACTGTCCAAACTGACTTGTGTAACTGCCTCTCAGAAACTCCCATGCCCCTATCATTAACAAGGTCTTCACGAAGCAGGGTGTGATTGGTGCACTTGGCTTCTGATCATGATCGGGACATGTGAGTTTCTGGGAAGTCCATGATCGGGACATGTGAGTTTCTGGGAAGTCCATGATCGGGACATGTGAGTTTCTGGAAAGTAGGGCGTGTTTTTTTTACAAAAACTCCCGATCAGGCAGTTTGCTTTTGTTAACATGCTTTGGTAGAGTTGAAAACGGGAGTAAATGGGAGTGACTGAGTCTAGTTTTACGCCGCTTTTAGCAATATCTGGGGGGACACCAAATGGGCTTCACACATTGTACCCATGTCGGGAATCGAACCCAGGTCTTCGGCGTGACGAGCGAACGCTTTAACCACTAGACTACCAAACCTCCCCTGGTGGAGTTGAAGTGGCTGGAAATGAATATTGGTGTCCTGTAGTCTCAGTCGTTTTTCGGGGAGGTCAGGTAGCCTAGTGGTTTAAGCGTTTGCTCGTCACGCTGAAGACCCTGGTTCGATTCCCAACATGGGTACAATGTGTGAAGCCCATTTCTGGTGTCTCCCGCCGTGATATTGCTGGAATATTGCTAAAAGCGGCGTAAAACCATACTCACTCACTTACTCAGTCGTTTTTCAACAAAATTATTTCAATATTGAGGAAAATAATAGCAATGCTTATTTATGTTATTTTGAAAAGAAAAAAATGTTAAATGGTTTGTGGAAATACAAGGGGAAGCTATTCCATTGTGGCAGTGGGACATCATCCAGAGTATTAATAATTCGTTTTAAGCCAGATACCATCCTAATGTCTTGTCAGGTGATGGAACAGAATGACACATGTATATGACACATTGTATGTGCCGCAGTCATTTAAGAAAATCCACATGTTGTTTTTTTATTGAGATGTATAATCACAAGTTTATTCACCTCCCAAATTGAAGACAAATAGTAAGCAGAATGGTAGCTTCCACTAGTGTGTAGTCCATATTAGAATGTAGAGTAGAAACATGAGGGCATTAGTTTAGAAACATGGAGGATTGTCTGTGCAGAGAAGCTGATGAAATGCAACATGGATTAACACATCAACTGCAAAGAAAGGAGGGGGATGATAAGGGCAGTAAGGCCAACGAGAAACATGAAAGTTAACATTTATAAAAATGTTTTAGAATATGATATCTTTTATATATGTTCAAATGACTGACAACTAGGCATTTTGCCTTCTTACACCTGCATGTTCTGGACTTTAGTCATGATTAAGTACATCAGTATTACAAGAAGACAAAATCAGTCTCCAACTATCTTCATGTTCGAGGTTTGCTATCCAGATTCTAAAATGTTGAGTACATGTACCGTATTTGACCCAATAAGCGCCCAGGGCGCTTAAAATAAAGACAGAAGGGGTGGGCGCTTATTGGGACCAATTCAGAATCAAATTGGGACATGGGCGTTTATTGGGTCGAATATGGTATGTGTATCAGTCTAAATGAAGCTCTACTTACCTGATGAGATATGAGCCCCTGATGCCAGCCTTTGATCTGTTCCCTTCCTTGTAGACGTCCTGGTATTTAGTCCACCATAGGCTTCTCTTTGGAAAGTAGATTACGCACATTTTTGTACTTGGCTCACGGATCCGCTGACGTTAAATTTTTTAACTTTTTGTTTCTAAGTTTGATCTTTTTTTATCCAGCCAATAACATTATAGCATATTGCTCATAACGTATACAGAAGACTTTGTGTATAATGATCATGCTTATACCGAAATTGATGGATATAACAAACTGTTTTGGGGTCCTGTTGATATGCTGTATATAGG